CCCGCAGCGCGAGCAGCAAGGCCACAGCTAAAGTTTCGAGTCGCGGCATCTTATGACATCGCACGACTGCCAAACTCTTCAGACGAATATTACAACCCTCAACTGAATACACCAATTTATAACCACTAACACGGAAATGTTATGCAGGTGCTTTGAATATCTACCGATATAAAACACAACGCTTTGCACCTCCACAACAAACGAACCGCCTTGACCGCCCGATGCGATTAGAGCGCGTACACTTATGCGGCGCCAGCTACCGAATAAAGCATCGCAAGCCCCGAATGTACACCTTTCGCACCTCCAAGAGAAAGTCGAAGGAAAGTGCAGATTTTGACTGTCAAACCGACGCCCACACGTCCCGAGGAGCATTGTCGCGAGTCATCCATCATCAATTGCCGGCATCAAACGTTAATTAAAACAAATGAGCAATATCCAGATGGAATGAGCACAGATTACCACGTGCTCATCTACCACTTCATAAATCATACTCAATCAAAACAAACCATAAATCTTGTAGGTGACGAATCACTAAGTAAAATAAGGTGCTTTGAGAGAAATCATTAACTACTTAGATACTTTTGAGAAATATATACAGAACCATAATGTATCGCAACATATTATAAAAAAGGAACAGTTATCTGAAGACGTCTTTTAATTTAAGCAGAATGTCAATGACACAAAAAAATATCAGTGTTAGTGTAGTTATAGCCCGCATGTTCAGAAACACAGTTTAGTTACTTAAGTCATCGATATATGAGGACATTCGTGAGTACACAACTTGACGGAGCTCATGTCTTAACTCAAACAAAAGATTGTTTGTGGTATGACTTCGGCCACTTCGACGAATGAAACCAGACCAATGCAATGCCAAATCCGAATTAAATAATTTAGTCACTCGATTTTTTTCAGACTTTTCCATGAAGCATCACTCCGTGTTCTGTTTTTGACACTAAAACTTTTTTTTATGACCTTAAGTATACAGTAAAACATAAGTGAGTATAGTAACTAACTTTGCACACTGTACTTATCGAGAAAAAATATAGTTCTAGAGATACAGTAAGACGAAGCAAACACAAATATAATATAAAACAATGAATAAATTATTTTAAACAATTCTAAATTTGCATTAATTATGAAGTGCCTACTTCTTTTCCATTATTACTAAGGTTAATTAGTTTTATAAAATGACTGATTGTTTTTAAGAAATGTTAACTTTATTCTTATTATATCTAATTAACATTTCAGTGAGTCCTCTTTAATACTACCTATATGAAAGGCAAAAAATTTGACGAATAATAAAATAGTTGTGTGTAAAAGCTCAAAGTACAGTAAATCTTAAGATATTCCTATGGAACCTAAGATTTAACAATATTTAATGGTAAAAGTCCGAACTGTTCTGTTTGTGATAGATAGTAACTCATTTCGATTTTTTACCACCGTGAACACAGTAAATGTTGATAGACAAGACCACAGCAATACCAAGATATACTTTAACTAGCTTTCCGTCAGCGGCTTAGCCCACATGGTCCTGTATTATACATATAAATCTACCACCTGAATCACTCTATATATTGATTAAAACCTCATCGGAATCCGTTATGTACTATAAAGGACCTCAGCGTACAGACAGCGGAAAGCGGCTTCGTTTTATACTATGTAAAGAAGATTGACTAATTAGCAAAAAAAGAAAAGGTTCTTTATTGTCGAAACTTGTTACTACATAAAATAGATTTATCTTTTTTTTCAAAAATTTAAAACCGACTTTAAACTTTAAAAAAGTGTGCAATGATAACCTTAAAAGTGACTTATTTTTTCAAGAACTGCTATTGAAGTCGGCAGGAGATTTTCTCTGATTTATTAATTAAATAATAGCCGCCCAACTTCAATAGCAGTTTCTTGCTCACTATCTTTAACCAACTTCAAAATCGAAAAGTAGGAGGTTATATGTTCGAAGGCGATGTAAATTTTTATAGTCAACGAGTGTCATGATTAAATCCTTTAGGTACATAGATTATACTATTTATATCTTTACTAGCTTTCCGCCTAACGGCTTCGCCCGCGTGGTCTTGTATTATACATGAAAACTCTTGAATCACCCTATCTATAAAAACTGCATCAAAATCCGTTGGGTAGTTTTAAAGGATTAAGCATACATAGGGATATAGGGACAAAGGAAGCGACTTTGTTTTATACTATGAAGTGATGTAAACATACTCTTAGCAGATTTTGTATTAATTTTTGGATTTCTATATTTAAATGTAGGAAAGTAGTCAGTAAATTTGTCTTGCCCTCTATCCTCATTTCAAAAATAGCAGAACATACTTATCCCTAGCTTTAGTTATTATTCTCAGCGTTGAACATAGAAAGTCCTGCTTTCGGATTTTGAATGAATGCAAAATACGCAATCTTTTGTTTTTTAGCTGATATCTGATGAAAAGCAGATTTTGTTCTGTAATAAAAATTTGAATGGGACTACCTCAGGCCCATAAGCTATCTAATAAACAAGAATTTTGAAAATCGGTCAACAATTCGCGAAAAAAACAGTGAATACATTGTGAACATACATGAAAAATACATCGCCGTCGAACATATCACCTCCGCCTTTTTAGATTTTGAATGAAACTACCATCAACTAAATGAGTAAAGAGATGGTAACCTACATGTTAAGTTATTCTTATATTATTATTATATCTAGTAATTTCATTCATATCAAAATCAGCTACAATTCTCAATTTCATTGGCATAGAATTTCGAAAACATCACGCTAATTGGAATGTCCGCATTGAATGTAAATACTGTCAAATTAGAAATTGATGTCATTATTATAAGTATTGAAACATCAACAATTTCACTCGTCTTTTAATAGAAGAAGAATTGGAAAGAGAGCTTGTGTACGTAAAACAAATGGTTTTTCCAAAAAAATAAAGACTAAGTAAGCTGTACCTAAGTTATTTAAAATGAAAAAACTATATTGTCAGATTTTTAATTTTTCAAACCAGAGTTAAACTCAATGTCTTTAATGATGTAAACATTCCTAAATTCACATTTGTCACTGTTTAGCCGAAAAGCTAGTGTAATTGTAAAACCGAGCTCAAAAACAACGAATGGAGAGCCTGACTCTACCTGACGGGATGCCTGACTCTACCTGTTACAAATACTCATAACAATATTTTTGTTGTAATTGTATTATAATAGTCACCCATTTTTAAATCTCTTCAATACGATCGATTTATACTGACATTTAGCTTAAAGCTTAAAGTAAAACTATGCAACAAATAAAAAAATCACATAATTACAAACTGTATAGATGTAATTCTGATGTAAATGAATGCAAAATTTATCAAATATAACAAAATGTGTAAATTAAGTCATATTTAATTATACTTGTGAAAAGCGCTTAATAGTTTTATTAAAATTTATATGAATTAATTATTTAATGTTTTTTGTTGATAAGAAAAGAAAAGTTGTTATTTATTATTTTCCTCTCATTTTTTCATTTTTCTCTCCATAAGAACCTTCATCGACTATTTTAAGGACTGTTAACTTAGTATATACAAAGAGTATAATATGTTCTTTGTTAAATTACCTAGCACTTTTTTGGTCGCCGAAATCCTTTACTTAATGAATTTGGGAAATTGTCTTGAATGTTTATGGAAATTCCAACTAATAAGGATAAAAATTCTCTTATTACTATGTGCGTTAAAACAAATGCGATGTTTGTGTACTTCGCATATTCGTTTCTTTGCAATACCGGTAGTAGCTAACGGACATTGAATAATAATGAATGAGTTTTAACAGTCAGCCAGCCCTTTTTAGCTCTGTGATTTTATGACATTTTCTTAGTATTCCAATCGAATTGTTTACCTATCAATTAATTTTGTGTTAGAATTTATCTTATTTTTAATATAGCCTTTTAATGGAATTTAATTTTAATGAAGCCTTTCTTGCAGAACATGAACTGAACGGTAGACCTACCGAGCAACTATACTTCCATCTATTTCCTTGACGTCAGATTGAATAAATATATGCTAAATCTAATTATTTCTTTGTGAATAATATGTGCTTAAACTGAAATAAAATCAGCCTCAAACTCGATGTTGATCATCCAACTAACTCATTTATTCCAAAGAAGATACCAAAAGCCATGTGAAAGACATAAAAAATGCAATATCTTCATAATATTCCCTAAAATGTCGTATCCTATGACTACAAAGTTAGACGGTCGCAACCTTGCCAATTATTGTTGAATTTTAAAACTACAGATGTCGGTTTGGTGTTTGAAAAATGTTGTTCTATCACTGTTTTTTATACAAATCACAATTAATTTGGAATATATTTAATTTTCTTATTCACAATAAATTTCGTTGACGCACACCAATCAGAAAATCTAACAAGGCAAGTTAAATAAAACCTTGTATAAAATGCGTGGTGATTGGCGAAATATCAGCTGTAATTTAGTTAAATTCTCTTTCAAAATAATGAAAAACCATGTTAATATTAATCATGTGTTCACGTTTAGAAATATAGAAAATTAATTAATATTGAAAAGAAAGTTAAGCTGATATCAAAGGTAAGCACCTTACCTTTCCATTAAATATCGTCTCTTTCTTGTCCTATCTACCTATCGTTGCAGATGTAAATATTCCTTAATAAAAATTGATTTCATTTCAAACGAACCAAAAACTCTATTCCTTCATAAAAAGGTGTAGAATTTAAAAAAATACTTTAAATGGCGCTAATTTAATGAAGGTTTAACCACCAACCACACTATCGTTGCCTAGTGAGAGCTAATTCGGACATCATCACTGCGTTATCATCGAGCTCCTACCTCCAAAAGAGCCTTATTTTCTATTTAGTACAGAAGAACGCAACATTCATGTTTATTTTTTAACAGAAATTTGTAAAAATATGAATTATGAATTGATTACAGATGTGCACATATAACAATTATTTTAAATATTAAAGTTACGATTCAACTAAAACTTACTTAAAAGTAGATGGACATTAATTTGTGTTCAGCACATGTTCTCGGCTTGATGATTCACCAGCAAAGAAAAAAAAATGCCGGAGGGCCGGCGGCGGCGCGCGGCGGCGGAGCACGCGGTTGTAGCGGGCCGCAGTCATTGCTCCCGCCGCGTCCCGGCCGCGCCGCCCGTGCCATGTCCCAGCCCGCCGTACTGAACGCACCCGATCCACTGCTCCCGCCTTTCGCCGTCGCGGTATGCATAGCATGCGTCGCAGGCGCCGGAATTCTTTGTAACTTCTCAGTAATAACCGCACTCCTTAAATTCTCAAATAATGGTACGGAACTCAATTTCAATACAAATGTATAAAATTAAACTTTGCCGCAATTTTTTTATAACTTATCATTCAATAATTTTGTTGTTTTAGGTCTTTCTGCAATTATCATCCAACTAGCTATTGCGGACGTTCTCATACTGTGTATATTATCGGGCCCAGAATTGTGGTTTTTTAACATTCGAACATGGAACTTCGGGCACAATTGCTGTACAGCTTTCAGAGGATTAAGCGTGTTTGCTTCGACAGCGTCGTCGTATTTAATAGCCACAGTGGCACTTCATACCATTGCGACTATTAACCTAGAAGAAAAAGCTATGGAAAGAAAAATGAAACGAAATAGAGAAACCGAAGACGAAGAAATAAAATCGTCTCATCACAGTCTTGTGGCCAATAGTGATTCTTCAACACCACCTCGCACAATGAATTTGGACTACCGCCTCGTAGATACTACTGTGAGAGTAACACCTCCAGTTCTGTTCATATGGATACTGTCAGCATCCTTGAGTATACCAGAATTTGTTTTGGCGACTACTATTAACATAAATGAAAAGGTATCCCTGTGCACTTCTATAGATTCCCACCACAAACTCAATACCATTTCGTGGTTGGCTACCTTTAACCTAATATTACCAGGCACTATTATGTGTATAACGGGAGTGATAGTGATATCCAAGCTTTTGTTACAAAAAAGAACGTTATCTGATCAAAACAAAGAGTCTGTATCTGCATTAAAATTATCTCTGTGTTTAATTATACTTTATTGGATATTTTGTACACCGCGGTCAATAACTACAGTATATCGTTTATATTCCAGATCGTTTGGTGAAGATCAGATTTCCTCGTTTGAATCAGAAAAGCTTGATGGTATTATATCACCAATAAGTTTAGCATTTAGTGGCACATTTATGCTTGCAGCCGCATTGCGTCCTGTTCTATCCATGTTGCTGTTACCAAAATTGAAAAACGTTTTGTCAAACAGCACTAAATATAATGAAAGATATTTTAATACGTAATTATAGTTGTAATAAATGCCTTTTATAAATGAAGGAAGTTTCAATCAAGTTATTGCCTACATGCATTAATGTAACATTTCTTTGGCTATAACCATATAAAAAAAACAAACAATATTTATATTCTGTCTCACTTCCAACGAAACATCAATCAGAGAGCGTGACGTTACGTAAGGAAAATTTGTAATAGATCTGTCTATTATAGGAAGGGCGCGGAAAACATTTAAACTGTAAAGTAATTGAATGTTTGAATATAATAACAATATTGTCACTGAAAATACCTTTTGTTTACCCCCGTAATGACGTCACATCCTTCGAGTCGCTGTTTACGCAGTTTTTTAAATAGTGTTGGTTTTGTGATAAGGCTTGTTTATATAAATAAATACTTTTGTGGAAATAAGCATCCATAATGATTAATTTTAAAGATTAAACTGTCCGATCCTTATTTGCCATCGTCTGTCCCTATCAAGAATAACAAGCGAAGGAAACTCTCAGTTCTTAACACAAGCTCTTAGCAGATTTACATAACATAACCTATTTATCTAAGCTGTCGTATTAGTCAAAAGTTAATCGATTAGGCGCCTTCAGAAACGAAGAATTTGTTTATTAGATTTCGGTGTTCGAAAATAAAGTATTTTAGCGTACTATATAATTCTCCAACAGTAATAATATGCAAACCCAGAATATATACTACATATATACATATTATCGTACGGTTGGCAACTGGTATCTAGATCAGGGATATGGAGGATCGCCGGGAAGTGTGATCGTCCAGGAGATTGAGAGGCCTTAGGCCAGTAATGGATGTTTCCCGGATGATATAATGATGATGGGCCTTCTTTATATTACACTAGCTTTCGGCCAGCGGCTTCGCCCGCGTGGTTATGTATTATACATAAAAACCTTCCTTTTGAATCAACCTATCTATAAAAAAAACCGCATCAAAATCTGTTTCGTAGTTTTAAAGATTTAAACGTACTTAGGGATATAGGGACCGAGAAACCGACTTTGTTTTATACTATGTCGTGCGTGATAATAGAAATACAATCCTCTTGAATGGAGTAGGTATTTAAGAAATTTATGTTACCTAAATAGCAAAGTAAAGAGATTGAGTAACATCGAACTTACGTCAAGATTTATCCGTATGCGAAAATAATATTATTGTGGCGAAATCTTCATAAACCCTTTTTACGTCACCACTACAGGGCTCACGTTTCTAATTGATGGTTAAGGAATACGGCCCAATAACCCTCCACGCTAGCCTAATGCGGGTTGGAGGGTATTAACGACTGCACATACAGCCGAGACCTACGGCTTAACTATAAGCAGTTGGCTTACGTGTCTTTCGAAGCACGGAGTAGCTCGAGATAATTTTTTGGTCACCCATCCCGTAACCGACCCTCGTGAAAGTTGCTTAGCGACAACGATTGACGGCAACAGCGCTTATTCAGAACGCCACCGAAATACTGTTATACGGCCGGTTTTTGAATTGAGAAAAGCACAAAATCTCAACTGATTATTCTCAATAACTTAAGTTTTTACGTTTCATATGACAAAAAGTCTTAGTTTTATCAAATTGCTATCAACTGATCATTGAAAAATATAAATCAGTAATGAAAACCTGTTTAAATGACGTTTAAAATGGCTTAAGCACGGTCGGAGACGTGCTCAACTGCAGATTCTCAATTCAGAAACCGGGTGTAAATGAATTCATCAGGCGTTAAACGTTTGAATATAACTATTACGGCATAAAACCCTTATAATTATATTCAAACGTGTAACGCCAGATAATTAATATTTTTTTCAGTTACCCAAATTAACCGGATAACCGGCCAATTAAAAAACCGAAATAACCTAATTTTTTTACTCATGAAATCGGTTATTTCGTTTTTTTGCTAGGTAATTGAAAAGGTGTGTCCGTTTTCATGCAAAGGCGTAGCTAGGGGGGGCAGGGTAGTTGGGCCATTATATTAACGCGGGTGAAGCCGCTGACGAAAAGCTAGTATGGTATATAAGAACTTTGATAGCAGAATTTGAATCTTTAGTAGAGTTAATTATAAATAATTCAACCTTCCAGAGGAATCACAATGCTGTACTGAAAAATGCTTAAAAAATTCACTTGTCCCTGGTACTCTTCATTTTAACAAGAACGTAAGAATATATGAAGCGCTAATTACTAAATAAATAATAAGCAGCAATAAATGTCACTAAAAGCGCTACATACTTAGCACTTTTGATGACATTTATTATAAATAAGGCCGATAAATCCTTAAGTTTAATTATAATTGGTTACAAGAATTAACCATTATGTAACCAAGAAAGTCAATAAAATGGTTTCCATAACTTGCTTACTACTTTAACTCTGTTATAACCTGTGAATGTTTATAAAACACTAAGTGGTAATCACTGTTGTAATAGGTCGCCCTGTTCTAATCACTCATTTATCACTACTCTAACCATTAAATCACTTCAAGCTCAGGCCCAAATCAGGGTTATATACAAGATACAGATACAGAACGCTATATCAACCAAACTATTAGTGCCTTTACAGTACCTTTAGTTCTTAAAATTATTTTTAGTTCATGTAGCATTTATTCTTTTAACCAAAATGTTAGTTGAGTAGTTATTGCGTAGTGAAAGTGTGTAATTTTTTGTAGTCGATTATATTAATGCTTTATTTATACAGATTTGATTTGACGAACGGTTGAAGCGTATAATTATTAATTATATTTGATCAATTGTAAATTCACAATGCTATACTAGAAATTGTTTATAAAAATTATTCTGAAAACGCTTAAAAAATCAACGAACCCAGGTTCTCTTGAGATGGAACTAGAACCCACGACCTTTCGAAATCCGGGCTACTGCTCTAAATACCAAGTTGCCCAGGCCCTAACTTTTTCGCTACTAGTGCGCATATTTTATCAGTCCGTTACGAAATGGGGACATAACGTAGTTTCAGTCTATTGCGTTGCCGAGCCGACATTAATCTAGCAGCGCAAATCTTAAGACGTTTCAGGTTATTTAATTAAGCCCTTATTTATCAGTCTGAGATACAGTGGCGAAAAAATGGCTTAACTTATACTTCGAGGTATGTACCTCACCTAGCAATAACAGTAGGTCATATACGTTTTTATTTGATCCACAATTATTTCCATTTATGATTTCATCACGTATCTTGTATCAAAGAACATTCGATTGAAATCATCACGAGCGGCAAAACACTGTGGTTTTGACATTATTTTCGTACCTAATTTATTCTTATTTATTCATCGGTACCTAGTGATGAATACCCCGAGAATGTTAGGAAATGACTATTAAGAAAATAAACTTCTAGTGCTAGTTAAGAAGATATAGCGTGGCGCTACCAGGCTGATGTCAGCCCAGCAACGCCCTACTCTCATCTCCGAAACCTTGGTTACTTTTTTTCATAACTAATAAACAAAGGAAGAGGGTGGAGCCAACCACACACTTGGAGATCCATTGCACCCATTGCCTCCTCGTGGAACAGAGCTTGGTTCTTGGTATACCTACACACCTACCTTACCCTAAAATTTACCTTCAAACTACGCAAATGCTTCCCCCTTCTATTTCGTCATAACCGGACTATTGTAGGTGCGCCAAGAATTCATTTCAAAATTCAAGATGGCGCTCCTGTACTGTTGGGAAAAATTGGGGGATATGGATTTAATTGAATTTGAGGAATCTGTGTTAACAAAAGCCCAAGAACGAAGAGTCAAAATTAAGAATGGCACCGCCGTACTAGATCTAAATTAAGCTCGTAATCTTACTTCGTAATAAATTTGTGAATTACTGAATATAAAATCAGTTTTAATGATAAAGGTATGTGACATGCTTCTTGTGCCTTATTATAAATATACCTATTTATTGTTGGTGAATAATACTATAATATATATTCCGGTAGTCAGTCACCAGAAAATTTAAAAATTCACATGTAGCACAACCATTAATATATAGTAAGTAATAATGGGACACGGGGCGTTGACAAGCCACCCCGTTTTCAATTCGATAGGCACAGAGACACACAATTTCAAAAATAAATTATTCAAACATATTTTGGGGTTAATAAGGTGGCGGTTTATTACAATATTGATTCTAAAACTAAAAATTGTATTTAATACAAAAGTTTATTGGTGAAAACATGAAAAATATAATAGATTAATGGCTGATAAAATGCAGCAGAAATGTTACAATATTAATTTCTCCATCACAAAAACTATTTTGCTAATAAATGCCTGAAAATCCAGAGCTATTAATTAAATATTAATCAATGACGGGCACAACAAAATGGTTAATGTCAATGTCAACAATTATTATCCCTTTGGTAAATAGGTATGCTTATGAAAATTCAGGACATCACTAAATAAGACACTAACAAGTTTTTTGTGCCCTAATTGATACAGCCATTACAAATATATTATGGGTTACTTTCATGAAATACTGTATTTCATTTGGGTCACGGGCGCACTTTAACAAAGTTACCTAATTGCATATTTTTTCAAAAAAAAAACAATCACCATCATGAGCTCCATCCATTTCACTGCGGACATGCGGCGAAAGGAATGTTTTAAAGGGCCGACCAGGCTGTTACTAATTTTATGAAAGGAAAACACTTTTAACTTAAGAAACCGTAATTTTAATAACTTAAGTTATAAATATTTATATTCATCAGGTCAGCTCGATATCTGTAATCCAGTGTAAATACAGAAATACAAAACCGTCAAAGATGACACATAACATTTAATTTTAGACGGAACGTGAAGGTCCGCTGCGAACGACATTTTTAACATTTTTTTTACAAGCGACGGCTCGCAACAGCGGCGGTTGGCCCGCGCCGCGCGGCATTCTCGAATGTTACTCTCTTATAAAACACCGATGAGAACAAATGCGTGTGCTGGGGTGGACGCGGCGTTGAATTAGTTGTCGCCACCCTCTGCGGGCTCGTCGCCATCTCCCTGTGTGTCCGACGTCCACAACGTCAGGTTGTCCCGCAGCAACTGCATGATCAGGGTAGAGTCTTTGTACGAATCCTCGTTCAGTGTGTCTAATTCGGCGATGGCGTCATCGAATGCCTGCAAACGAAACCCGAATTGAAAATGAAAGAAATACAAAAAAAAAATTTTTTTTTTATAATAATTTTAAAACTTAGTACATTCTCAAGTTAAATATGTACAGTACACTCTGATGCTGGCTGGATGAAGTTAAATAGGTTAATTGCTCATAACATGTCCATGCTGATATTATATTAGTGTCGGAAGTTATGAATTTACGATACTTTTGTCTCATGCACTATTGAGGACACTACCCTCAACAGTTAGTGGGAAAATTATCCTTATTATTTTCAATGAACAAAGGCACACTGCAGATCAAGTGCACAATTTCTAAAAAACCTGTTTAGCTAAGTGGCACGCTCGCGCAGGTGAGTTGATAATCTCGTAATAAAAGACCGAAAAGTTGAGTGCTAAACCAAGCCGAATGGGATGGGTTGGTTGCATTTTGGCCTTGGCAATGTCGAACGCCTCCTGGTAGGCCTTCTGCGAGTCCTCCACGACGGCTGGGGACAAGCGAGTATGTTAATTGCTGAGCAAATACCCCTACTTTGTGCCAGCCAGCAGAAGAGTTTACGCATAACTGACACAAATAATGACCTGCTTGGCGAGCTGACACGCCTTGTCTGGAGAATTTAATATCTCATAATAGAAGACGGAGAAATTTAACGCCAGACCCAGCCTGATAGGGTGTGTGGGCTGCATTTTCGCCTTGCTGATTTCAAAAGCATCCTGGTATGCTTTCTGTGAGTCCTCTACAACAGCTGTAATGTAAATGATAATTTAAAGGACTATTCCACTACAAGATATATGTACAATTAATTAACTTGTAGTTTATGTTTTAAAGTAAATGATTGTTGATTGACAATTTTCTTTAAAATATTTATGAGCTATAAAAAACTACTTACAATTTCTGGTTTCTCCTGTGGCCACTTCTGCAAGGTACCTGTAGTAATCTCCCTTCATTTTTAGGTAAAATACTTTACTTTCTGGATTACTAGCTTTAGGAATAAGGTGCTTGTCAAGTAAGCCCTGTAAAGATAATTTCAATTACATTATTTAAATAATGCCTCATTTACTTTAAAACCAACTTATGAATATTAAATATAACAAAATAGAATCAGACATTATAGATCGACTGAAGTCTGCAAAGGATTTAAGAATAAAAATGAAAGATATAGTCAAAAAATTACGAAAATGTGTAACTACATACGCATTTTGGAGTTATTTTATTAACGAGTAATGTGCGCGTAAACGTAACAATAAATAATTAATTATTGAAAATTAACAAATTTTCAAATAGGGCAACGAACGAAAATGGGATAGGAGCGCGCGCAATGACGCGGCGCAATACGTCACACCACCCGCCCTCACGTTATAAAGCCGCACCGCGCCCCTTCATACTCTCGCGTGTTATAACGCCCATGATTAACAACTTTGCAAATCGCGAAGCAAATAACCACGAGATATCAAGTCACGCTTGCATCACCCGTAGAATTGGTGGCATGCGAAAATTATGACGTCATCTGTGTAGGATGATACGATGATGACACTACAAAAGTATAATTTTCACGCTGGAAAGATTATGAAGAGGCGCCTTGCCGCTAAATCATGACAAAATCCTGATTACTTACCAAAACATCGTAGCAGATTTCTCTGAGCTCCTTTTCTACTTTAACCCTATATTCTTTTGCCATCTGTTGTTTTCTTTCCGAACCTTCGGTTTTCTGTTCAATTGATGAAATAACTCGCCATGACGACCGTCGGGCTCCAACTACGTTCTTATAGGCGACAGAAAGGAGGTTCCTCTCCTCGTTACTGAGTTCGACACCGGTTTCCGTGACCTCTTTCATCGCGGCCGCCATGTCGTCATATCGTTCAGCCTGCTCCGCCAACTTGGCGCGTTGCACCAGTTCCTCCTTGTCGACGGACATCGTGGATGAGAGAGGATTATTTCACTGATGCCCCTGTAATGAATGATAAATCGAATAACGCCCTGCATATATATCTATAAAAGGGGGTTTTAAGAAGTTCTTTATCAGAAAGACTAATCTTGAGAGTCAGTTTCACCGAAATGAATCCATAAAGGGGTTTTTGTCATCATAAAATCGCACCTTATGAGGCTCACGAGCGCACTGGCGCAATGTTAAGTTCAACGTTGCTCAAAGAGCGACCCTCACGCAAAACGCGACATCGACACGGCGTCCGCACGGATAGACAGCATCTCACAGACTCGGGCCACCAGCGATAGCGAATGAGGCACGCGCCGTGTCGCCGCGCCGCCGCTTGGTCACCGCCACTGCGCCACCGGTATTGATCCGACGACGCGGGATAAACACTCCAGACGAAATACGACTAGCGCGACGCTTGCACACGCCCCTCACCCTCGCCACACACCCCGCGTGCACCGCGCCCGTCGGTTCGGCGCCTACCTTAGCCTACCCCTATATACCTACTACTGTCTCTCATCTCTCTACCCTGTTACCAACTGTAAATTAACAGTTTTAATAATTGTTCCTTTTAAAACTTTCTTATATTATGTATATTTTCACGCGGTATATAATACGGGAATGTTTTCTTTTACCAAATAATTTATATTTAGGCAATCTTGCTCTCAAGATGTTGAGCAGTTTCACTTATTCTCAGATTTTCATACCGCTCACGATAAAATCGACCGTCGCAAATAATTTTATATATTCCCTTTTAGATAGAAATAAATTTAAAAGGAAATACTTTTGCTACAATTAATTTGGAAAGGAAAATTGAGAAAAAATTAAATCGATTGCACTTTCGTGATTTTTTAGTAATCAGATATTCAAATAAAGAAGGATTCAGTATGGTAATAATAAATATGTAATTATTTTGCAGGGTACGAAAGAGGTCAGTTTGCTTTTATTACTTTCATATGGATTTGCTATGGAAATGATAAATTACCATTTTGTATCGGCCGCCATATTGGATTAAAATGGCTGTATCCGAATCAATGGTGGCTACTATCTCTCGTCTCTCTACCCTATCTCATTTGTCATGATGGCTAAACGTGTACATAAAATTTCAGCTCAATCGGTCGAGACTTCAAATTTCATGATTTATCTCTAAATAACTAACAGGTTAACATATAACTTATCAACAACTTGTACAAAATCTTGTAGAAATACATACTATAATTTAACTGTCTACCTAAATGCATCAAGATTTATGCCGAAACTACGTATAAAGATTTTTAATTTACAATTTTGTTTAAGTTTGCAATATTCTATGAAAAAAAATTATCTGAATTATAAATCTGAAAAATGCTTCTACAACCAGAATAATGTAGAGCGTCCTCGCGAAACAAACCTTATACGGCATGATGGCTGACCTGAGGATGCTGTTGTTAGAAGTGAAAATTATAATCTGTTTCTATAAAGCTTTTCAGTTCTATTCAAGCTTTATGGCTTGGCACAAAGATAGGGTTGCCAGCCGTCCACATAGATGCACGCTTTTTGGGATTGCCAAAATAACAAAATAAATGGTGCGTGAATAATGGAAAAAATGGTGATAAAATTGCCTAAAATTCTATTTTTGAAAGAGACAAAAATATTTGAATTATGATTTTGTTCTCTTATATTTAATTATAGATTATTTGGACATTATATCTTTATACAGAACCAATTATAGTTTTACAGTCAATAGAATGCGAAACTTATTATTATATATAAATTTATTATATAAATACCTAAACAATAAGAGTACCATCCACAGTATTTACAAAATAACAAATCTAACTAAGAGAAAATAAAAACAATTCAACAAGGTAATAAATAAAGACATCATTCAATCAGTACCATTTGCCACCGGTAATATTTTCTTTGATGAGCATAATATTTGTGAAATAAATGGTAAAAAAAAATGAACAAAAAATCACAAGCCCCCTGAAATATTTATTTGTGGTTGAAGCAGCAATGGAAATACTCATCCATGAAAATTTTAACTAACTTTCACGGTTCATAAAATACAGTCTGATGACAGTCTTATTAATAGGGTTCCCGTTTTACCCTTTGGGTGAGGAACCTTAAAAATTCTATTGATTTGTCAATTTCTAAATAGGTCTATTCATGTAGTCATTTATTACAAGAATAATACTTTCATTAACAATTTACAGTTAATAAATACTTTATATTATTTACCTAAAGTAAATGCATTGGCACAGTTCAACCAAATCTTTTTTTTTTACATTCCATTTTTTTTTAAAGATGGTTTTTAATAGTTGTGATATTCGGTGAATATGAATACTATAATATAGTATTAAATAATCCATATTTGTCACATGTCTAATTACAATAACAATATTGAAAGTTTTCTTGTCAATAGCATTTAGTCAATACTTTCATTATATTGTGCTGATGCTTTTAAATTGTTGAAAAACATACATACTCAATTTTTTTCATATTGAATTTGGATATCTATAACATATTACAGATCTCCTGGGCAACCTAATTTGGGAGCCAGGCCAAATTCAAATTAAAAATTTGTTACGCTATAAAGAATTAATATTTGTCTAATCTCAATAGTTGGCTTTGATGTAATTTATTGATCATCAAGGCCAACTGTAACTAATATAACAGGGATTATTTATATTATTAACTGATCCAGCTTTTAAACCATTTCCTTAGAACATAAGGAACATAACCACACCTACTACTAATAAAGACAATTAAATGTTTGCCAATACTCTTTTCAATAAATCACTAGGGAGAAAACCTTCAGATTATCACAAATTTAGATTGTAAAGCTAACTGAGAAACTAAGAATTTCATTTTCTGTTTTCCTCAGTGGTATTCAGTAACCTCTAAGTATCTTTAGTTTTCACCTATCCGATTAAAAAAAAGACCATAAATAGTTGCATTTCAGTTGGAATAAAAAATTATACAAATCACACCTGTAAGTCTTTCTAGGAACAAAGTTATAACATTAAATTGTGATATACTGTGTGCATGCAAAATCTGTGATCTAATGAACAATGTGGGTAAAAACAAATACCACAAAGATTTGGTGTACACATATTCATGAATGTGTCATCCAAAATGCCAGTATGCTGTACGCCAACTTGTAAATGAAACTAAGAAAAAAAGAGCACATTTTAATGTCTTTTACGATTATCAATTATTTTATTAAATTAAACGAAAGTTATTAGCTAGTTAACTGTAAAAACGAGTTAGAAAAAATATAGTCTGTACTAAAATAATGAACAGCGTTATTTGCCCCCGTTTCAATGTCACGCACGTGCCCATCAAGTTGAAAGGCGTTAAAGCAAAGGCCGAGACACACCAACGCTATTTCGAAACCATTCATTATTATCTACCAACCCACGATGATGAATCTAGTACGTATAATAGGTACATACATATACAGTTAAAATTCCAAAATGACCCCAAAATCTTCATCAAGAACATTTTAAAATGATTTTAGAACACGTAGCAACAGAATTGACATTATATCGTTATCGACCATGATAACGGCGTGACTACGCACGGCAAAGTTACGACGCATTACTAGGGTCACTAAGTATGTGTTAATCAAAAATTCTTTTATCATTACACAAGCTAGGTATACTCTTGCGGAATTGATGTGTACCCACATAATAATTATAATAAAATTAAGATAGTGTAAAAGTAAATGCTCCAAAAATATAATTTCAAAGCATGTAGGCCGTAGGCAATGAAGAGAAATTGACTTACAAGAGATCTCGGCGTATTGAAATCGTTAAGACAGTTAACGGAAAACTACAGCAAAATAGAGAAAAAGAAACATGTATAATTTAAGAAACATAAACTTTGAACACAATAATTTCGAAAGGTCTAACCGCACCGCGGAATCGTGTCGCCGGCACAGGCAAAATGGCTGCTTGAAGGGACACTCCTTCTATGCGTCACACTCACCAACTTGGGTAATTTCAATTTATTAACAATCACACTTTATAAATTACACATACAAGAAGCTCACTCAGAGAAATTCCAAAAACACTTACTTGTTGGAAGGGGGAAAAAGTAAGAGAACCAGCAAATAGCTATATAATTTCAGTTTTTCTCTTGCGGTGAACGATACACTACACTGACGGCTGCGGGGCCAGAGGGGAAACAAAAAGCGGAAAAGGGTTCTCACAGTACGACGGCCATTTTTGGCAAAGCCATAGAGACTATACTCTCCAGAATGCAACGAACTAAAAGTATAGCTTTTTCTCACTCTGATAGTATGTCGATAACAGAGACCACAATACAAGTTTCCGTTTTTATTGCAAGTTTAATGCAAACGAAAACTACTTTGTTCAAAGAGTATAAATAATCGGCGCGTATTTTAAAAAAAAGGAGAACTTACAACGGAGAAGGTAAAAAGAAAATGTGGCTATTCACAATACAATTTCAAATTCGCTTTGTTGATTCAATTAATGTTAAATTAACACAGCAGTTATCGTCTATGACTGTACCCGCGAAGAAAATCCCTATTGAAAGAGTAAAGTATATATTCGCCATTATGTTGTATCGAGTATCGAAAATTGATAAATATGACTTCATTTCGTGTTTCTTATAATATATAACGCTCAAATTAATTTAATGTATTTGAACTGCAATTTAAAGTTATTTATTAAGTCAACTTTCAGGTTAATAATTTAGTTACGTGTAAAGGAACGATATTGGATTTTAGCGTCACGCAGCCACATTTACGGCTTTGTAGGTACCGCTTCTGCCACAAGTGTCGCGCAGCCGTAGTACGGTCGATTGGGAGCACTGCGCTTAGTTGGCTTATATCAATTTAATTAAAAAACCCACATATATAGTATTATGGCTTAAAATAATCGTGATGAAATAATCTATCAGGTATAAAGTTGTAAATAATGTTTGTGCCACTGTGAAATTTAAAAAAAAAATTGCCTTGAGTGGGAGCATGGACTTAGCAGCTGAATAGCGAGCCGAGTGAGATATCAAATATAGAGGCTATATTTCCCATTCTAATTCTAATAGGGCGACAATAATATTTTAATGAGGAATTATTTAAAATGATGTCACTACAGTACTTTCTTGATTTCTCTAAGACAACCCTTGTTCCGGTTTTCTTTCATATATAAAAGTAAATTAATTTTCATTACTCAATAAACAAGTCATATTCTATTTGTACTTTTTCATAGTTGTATTGATAGGTGACTTCAATACACCTGAGGTAACATGGACTCAACAGTCTGATGCTCCCAATATTATCGTTCGATCATCTCTGAGTTTTAAAGCACAGCTATTACACGAAACCATTGCATATTGCAACTTATGTCAGTTCAATCTCATTCCAAACAAAAATGGCAGATATTTAGATCTTGTGCTATCTTCCATTGAGACGCTGAGTGTTACCTTGTCTGATTCTCCTCTTTGCAAGGTGGATGATCACCATCCCCCCTAGTGATTGAGTTTCAAACTAACAGCCTGGCAAAGCCATAAAACCGATGAATAATCATCGCTTAAATTACTCCAAATGTGATCGGTTGGAGTTCAAGAAGCGCTGGAGCACTTTGATTGGATGTCACTACTGTCAATTCCAGACTTGGATGAATCTGTTAACAGGTTTTACTTTGAGTTGCGAAAAATTATATATATATATATTATGGGATAGGCGGCAGACGAGCAGATGGATCACCTGATGGTAAGTGATTACCGTCGCCCATGGACACCTGCAACACCAGAGGGGCTACGCGTCCTAACTGGTTTAGTGCAGCACTCAAACGAAGCTTAAAAGAAAAAAATAAGTATCATAAAAAATTTAGTTTGCTTCGTAGTAGATGTAAAAAGTTGGTTGATGCTTGTTACAAAAAATATTTAAATGGTGTTGAGGCTTCTTTGGATAATGACATGAAGCATTTTTGGAGGTACGTCAATAGTAAAAAAAATATCTAATTCTATACCTGTAACTATGTCTTATGATAATATAACCTCATCAGACCCAAAGGGTATTTGTGACATGTTCGCTGACTATTTTAATTCAGTTTATGAAAAGTTACAAAGTGGGTCATCGAGATTAGAAATGAAAGTCACATACAATTGTAATGTTTTGATTGGGTTGGACGTTGATGATGATGTCGTCCTTAAAAAATTAAAAGCTATGGACCCAATGAAAGGAGCAGGGCCAGATAAATTGTCCTCATTAATTGTTAAAAATTGCAGTGTCGAACTGTGTAACCTCTTGTATTTCTTTTTAATAAATTTCTTAAAGCCGGTGTTTTTCCCGCTTTATGAAAAAAGGCTTATATAATACCAATTTTTAAAATCCGGGGATTTTAAGACCCATACCGTCATGTATTGTCAAGTGTTTGAGTCCGTTCTGTATGATGTCCTAAGTAATCATTTTAAACCCATTATTTAACGTTCCCAGCATGGTTTTGTTAAAGGTAGATCGACAACCAGTAACCTATTAGAATATAGAAACTATCTCTCTTCTGTTTTTGATAAACGCCAGCAAGTTGACTCAGTCTATACTGATTTTTCAAAGGCATTTGATAAGGTCAACCATAACTTACTTCTTTCAAAATTGTCTATATGTGGTATACAAGGTGACTTTTTGAGATGGCTAGAATTTTATTTATGTAATAGAAGTCAACTTGTTGCAATAAAGGGATATCTTTAGGCTCCTTTCAATATTAATTCTGGCGTACCACAGGGCTAACATCTTAGTCCGCTTTTATTCATAGTCTTTGTTGATGATCTTATACAGAAGTTATCATGCCACTGTCTACTGTATGCGGATGACTTGAAGGTCTATGCGATTATGGACAACGAAACTGATGCTGAAGTGCTCCAACAAGACCTGAATACGATCGTCAAATGGTGTGACGAAAATTATATGGTTATAAACATAGAAAAGTGCTTTGTCGTTTCTTTTACTCGAAAAGTTAAGAGATTAAATTATGATTATAGGATTAATAGTCAAACACTGTATCGTGAGAGTAAAGTAAGAGGTCTAAGAGTTACTTTTAACTAAAAAAAATAAGTTTTCATGTTCACTATGAAGGTATTATTAATAAAGTGGCATAGAGTCTAGGATTTATATCTCGCTTCACTAAAGGTTTTAAACGTCCAGACAGTTTTGTTTATTTATACAATACTCTTGTCAGGAGCATTCTTGAGTATTGCAGTGTGGTTTGGAATCCGATTTACAAGGTTCACTGTGATCGAATTGAGAAAATACAAAAGAAATTCACGAGGTTGCTATGTTTTCGATATGGGTCGAAAAGGACGCTTGTATCTTACCAAGACAGACTAAAAAAATTTGGTCTCACGAGTCTTGAGAGTCACCGCAAGTATAATGATTTACTATGTCTGCACAAACTATTATACTCTGATATTGATTCGCCAACCTTGTTATCACATCTTAATTTCAAAACTAAATTTAGATCTCGCGATGTAAGTTACTAGGTGTTTTCCTTGAGGGTCCCGCCCTCAAATGCACAAATAATTCCTCCTATTATAATCCACTTGTTCGAATGTGTCGCTGCTATAACGAAATCGCTGTGCTTGACAATGATATTGATATTTTTCACTTTTTATTTGTGAAATTTAAAAGAAATGTAAGAGAGCTTTGCACCTAAATAAGGAATAAAACAATAAATAAAATAAGGACTTATCAATGTTAAAACAAATTTTCTTTTCTTTTCTATAGTTTGTAAAATATATATAAACATTTTAAATTAATTTATGAGACAACTATTATTACCATGTTGTGTACGCATAGTTCTAGATTGTAGTCCAGACCTAATTATATTGTCAAATATGTATTTACTTTTTATAACTGTAATCCGTTTTGTGTGCCTGTATAAATAAATAAATATTTAAAAGGAACGGTAGTTAATGTATTTTTGTTGGCCTATGCGCTGTGGCACTAACAGAATGGCTGAGTAATGAAGTCCTATCATGAAAGAAAACAAAAATCTACAGCGATTTTTACCAAGTCCATAATTTAATAATCTTAATAGAAATCGGGATTTTACAGATCGATTATATGAAAAACAATTTTTTTTTTCAAGTTTGCAAATAATCCATTTGATTTAAAACGTTATTTCTCCTGTTTTATAGTGATAAATACCTAAGCTTTAATTAAGGCGCGGTCAATTGGCGTGATGACAATCCTTTTCATAAGGGTCCCGTTTTAGACTTTGCTTATGAAACCCTAAAAAGATTTATAACTATTATATTGGATCAATTTTGCATTCATAATGATAGCATTATGATCATCTGTATAGACTGATAAGCAGTTTTCATACAAAAATAATCGTTAATACAGAATGTGTTAATTAACAAAAAAAATAGAAATTTATTATATAAATGCTATTTTATTTATTATATAAATATACGGTATGCCCTATTAGACCTTTTTCTTTCGGATCAGTGAACAACCAGTGAAACATGTAAATAACAGAACATTTGACTAATCGTGAATTTGATACTTATTTACTTAAATTAGAACATGTGAATGACAGAAAAATTTACTAATGCATTCGCTAACGCTCACTTAAGTGTCACCCTCTCGTAGAGAATATTGTTCTGTGGTCACCCTGCCCTGTAAATACAATTATTTACTCTTTCAGTCTCTGTCATCTGTCTGTCAAAATCTGTCACGCTCACGGGTGTCACGTGTGCATGTGGGGGAAATTCAGACTTCCAATACTTATTACCGATAAAAATCTTTTACTTTAATAATATTAATAGAACAAATTTGCGTGACAATAAGTTAAAAAGTAAATTAATACAATGCCTAAGTCAAAAAGAGATAAGAAAGGTAATTAAACTTTTATAGTCGTTTATAACCTATTTAAAGAGACCTTACTAAAATATATTTTTGTTCCAGTTTCTCTGACGAAAACAAATAAAAAGGGACTTATTTTGAAACAAAAGACTATTGAGGAAATCCGAAATTCGTTATCTAAATACGAACACGTTTTTCTTTTTACTGTTGACAATATGAGAAACACAAAATTAAAAGATTTACGTGCAGATTGGAAAGATTCACGTTTCTTTTTTGGTAAAAACAAAATTATGGCTGTGGCTTTAGGAAGGACTAAAAGTGATGAGGTGGAAGACCAGCTGAATTTGGTAAGTATCTCTAAATATCTCTTGGTGACCTCTAACACCAGTGCTAGTTGTACTGATTTCCCAGGTCATATCCTGGTTAATCTTAATATATTTTTGTCGGTCAACTTTTTCATTCATACTTCTTGGTGGTTATGTCTCTAATCTTCACTTAGCTTACTCAAGTTTATGGTGGCCCAAAATGTTACACTGCAATATTTCTATCATGTTATACATTTTCACAGCTTTCAAAGAGATTGAAAGGTCAATGCGGTTTGTTAATGACCAACAGAGATGTATTGGATGTTCTTCAATGGTTCAAAAGTTATCGTGCAACAGAATTTGCCCGTTCAGGTTTTCTGGCAACTGAAGATGTTATATTAAAAGCAGGACCTCTAAAAGATTTCTCACATACTATTGAACCACATCTAAGGAGGCTTGGTCTGCCAACATCACTTGAGAAAGGAGTCATTAATCTTATCAAAGAATACAAGGTATGTTAATATTGTGTAGTTTAAACAGACATTTTTTAATATAGGTATAATATATTTGTTATTTAATGGTAAAAAATTACATTTGAAATTTTAATTCTTAAATTCAGTAATCTTGGAGATCAGCAGATGGAAAGGTCAAAACCATTTTTGTCATATTTTCATTTGAAATTTATTTTGAATAATTCTCAACTCCCTCTCCCCTACCTTTCCCTTGAATTAATGTATTTGTGTTGCACTACTACTGATTCGCTATGATAAACAAAAAGTTGGACTGCAGACAGACACAGATATTCTTGTGATCTAATAATGGGGATGTTGGCTTTTAAGATACAGAAAACTATGTCATTTAGTAATTAACTGATGCATAGCATAGAATAATTTGCCAGGCTGACAGTTCTACTGTAAGCAAACCAATCATGATTGAACAACAAGTTGATCTGTCAGACTGACATATCATTCAGGCCTCTGTTGATGCAGTAAGGCCGCAGGGGATTTTGTGCCTATTTTTTTATATATATTACTTTGAATAAATTCTAGTAGAGTTTATTAAAGTTTTCTTGTGTCATATTATTATTATTATTTGTAAATGTGATTTTATATCTCTCTTTTTAAGGTATGCAAGAAGGGTTCGTCTCTGACACCAGAACAAGCAAGTATATTGAAGTTATTAGGAATACAGATGGCACAGTTTAAATTAGTTATTAAATGCCATTGGACAAAAGGAAAAGGCTTCCATAAAGACCTTGATATACAAAGTGACAGTGAAGATAATGAAGAAAATGTACTGGAAGATGAGGAAATGGAAGAAGATGAAACCTAAATATATATTTCATTATATACATAAACCTTTTGTGTTATTTCCTTGTTAAGAGATGAGATAATGTTAAACCTAATTTATCAGTCCATCACAAAATAGGAATAAATAGCCAGAATAGTAGTTTCAGAGATAAACAGGAAACTTCATGCACAACTTCGTGAACAACAGTTTGGGAAGAAACAGTTGAATACATATATCCAATCTGATGGGTATATGAATTTAACTGTTTCTTCCCAAACTGTTGTAAAACTCTGCTTCAAAGTGACTGGCATTTTTAATCAAAATAATATTTAATGATGAAATATTATGTTGAAAGGTAAAAAATAATGTTTTATCCACGTATTATGATTCAAACTATTCTGTTTTACTATTTATGTAAAACTTAACCTTTAATACTGCTGTAGACAGTAAAAAAATAACTACATATTCTTTTTTTCTAGTAGTATTTAATAAACTATTACCGATAATCACACTTTTATGCTTATTGTATTTATAATATCTTAAATTAAGTATGAAAAAACAAATATCTTATGCTCAATTTATGACGTCATAAATTTCCCTAGGATACTGTAGCAGTGTACTGGCAGTCCATAACGGAACGGATTTTTCAGCAGTAAGACCACTGCGCAGTGCTCGCAGTGTATATCGGAACATACCCCATGTTCGTTTCAGATGATCATGACGTTACAGCGACGCTATGACAGAAGTAGCGTATTCGCGGGAAATTTCGAAAAATTTAATTTAATTTTCAAATTTTTAGATCTAAACTTATTATTTGAATATTTTTAGATATATTTCACGTACAGTCAACAAAATTTCTGCCTACCCCGTCTTAGGCGATATTTGCTTGCATCTGTAAAATACTCGGTGTAAAAAGTCTCTGTGTTTCCGAATTTGCCTTGTGGACCTCAAAAATTGAAATTGCCAAGTAAAAATAACATAATACAATTAAATTATGTGTATTGTTAATGGGTGTAATATACAATGAATTTCAAATATAAAGTTACGGTAAGAAAAAAAAAAGTAGGTATTCGATTAACTAACTATTAAAATATTTGACTAATAAAATAATTAAAGTATTCTGACCAAATCTTATTCATTATTTTGAATCAGATTGTTGCAATATTAAGAATGCAATAAAATTACTCGAAATATATTCAGTAATAATTAAATTATACAAAATTCATGGACTGATACTTTTTAAAGATAAAGTATTTTATTAGCAAGCATATATTAACAATTATATTTAAACACACACTGCTCAATTCAAAATATTTATAATGACGAAATTTACGAAGGACAGCATTTAAAATATATCTAAATATTGATAAAAAAACTAGAAAATTACTATAAAAGTCATGCAATCTTTTACATAATCATAGCATGCACGATTTAATGATCGAATTATGTAATTAAAAAAATAAAAGTTCACGAGAGATTCGCACTGTAGCAGGAGTAACTAGTTAAATTACGATTTATTTTTTTTAACCCTTCTGCAAGTCGATAGAAAAAGTTTTGATTATTTATTTTTAACTGGTCAATAACCAAAGACCGATAAGAAAGTGATCGGTGATTCTCTTACACCATGCAATATAGGGTAACGCAACCATGTTTTTTTTTTTTTGTTAAGTAGGAAACAATTTGCTTACAAAATGGACAGCTGTGTTTACATGGGAAGACTTGACCTGTTAAATAAAAGGTAATTAGTATGAAACTTCTGCTAGAATAATAATTTTATTCTAGCAGATTTTATTTAACGAACGCAAACGTAAAAAGACGTAGGTATTATTATGATAATAACGATTTTAAAAATGTTTCATCATTTACATTTTAAAAGAAAGACAAACTCAGATCGTAATATGTTTTTACCATCCTTATGTTTATTGAAACATCGACAAAAGCTAGATAACCAATAAAACATCTGGTCGGGTATTTTTTCTTGCGACGAAACAATTGTTTCGTACGGTGTAACAGTTACTCTGTTAATAGCTTATACCATGATGCATATTTTTGAAGCAAAGAAATGTTCTCTTCGTTAAATTTAAAGTCCTTTGTATAAAATATATTTATGTCATACCTACCTTTTTATGTCATTTTCTTCAACTTCTACTTGGACGACATGAATTATGCAGAAAAACCAATTGTCAGGTATTACTGCATAAAATGAAAATATAAAAAAAGTTTTCTACATCCCTATTATATATATAAAAAAAAAACTATTCATCAGGATGATATTTTCAAAATAAAATTCAACAAGAAAGCCTTCCGAACCGTTATTTTATAGGTGTAATTAGGATAATGCAAAAGAAACTTTAGTCTAAAACGTTTATTCAAACAATCACAGAAACCATAATAAATTATTTTATAAAAATATCAAATAAGACGAAATCAATTCATGTTTTTTTAAAACAATTTCAATTACTTATAAGACAAAATGTTGCTATATCATTATTCTAAAAATGTATATAAAATATACAGGGCAAAGCTGTTTATGTGAAGCTACACCTTTAATAGTGATGTGTGTGATTAACATAAACATTACTTAGCCAACATACAGATATAGGTAGGTAATCACAGTATAAAAATAAAGCATATTCAGTCAATGACATCACAGCTAGATATCTGCAAAACCAAAACTACAACTAAGTCATTTTTATTTTTCCTTCTTAGAAGATAGTAATATATAATAATAAAAAATAATAAGTAATAAAAATAACAATACCTACCCGCAGTTTAAAGAAATCGTTCAATTTGCAATCAATAATACAGCTAAAAATAATATATCTATGAGAATATTAGTATTAAGCTAGTAAATAAGCATATTTCACAGTGATATTTTGTAATCCCCTTTCGAAATCTCGCATTCGACCTGCGACTGCTGAGGTTAAACTACCTTAACAAATGTAGGGTGACTAAGTATTAATTTGAATTATAGTTTTACATGGTTTTTATCTTGTTAAAACACTACTGCCAAATATGTTAATCATAATTTAATTTGTATTGTAAAACTTACACGGTACATAGACAAGCATTTATATTAAGTTGTATTATTGACCGAAGATTACACAAAACATCAATATATCAATTTATTTATGAAAGTTAGAATTTTAGATACAGTAATATATGTGCAAATTTCATTTATAGATAGTGAGACAATTTAGCTTGAAAGCTTCGTCTGTCAGTAGGCCTACTGCGTAACTGAAGGACTCATGACCTGATTTGTAAAAGATTTATCTATCAGCAGACCAATCAGGATTTGTCTGTCTAATATTAGACCCATTCTGATTGGTATGCTGACGACTGATCTGGCATCGTTACAGATCATTCAGAGCTTCATTTAAGTAGACCAATCAGTTTTAATATTACAGATGCTTCAGTTAGGCTGTAGAACTGTTGGATTCGACATCGTTTACGCCTGTGAAGCTGACCCGCTTACAACTATGAAAATATCGCATATAACAAAATGCTTAATACATTTTTTGAAATAGTTAATATTTTTTTATATATGTACACATAAAAGCACGTCAGGTTTCCACAAATGCTTATTAGCAATCAATTTATTATGAAGAAAAATGATTTTCAAAATAGATTGGAGAACTTTGAGTTTTGAATATTCTGATATGCTGTTCACTGTACCTTTTAAGCTCCTCAGGATGTGTCACCTCGAAAATAAAGTGTGACAAAATTTACGTGAAATGCTATACTGAAAAATAATCTTAATGAAAAGCTAAATTCATTGAATTCGACGTGCTAGAAGTACTGACCTTGACGTCGTTATCTAGTATATTCTATTTAACCAAGCAATACAGAAATTGTCAAGCAATTACAGCGGCTTAGATACCTAATATTTGGCGTGACGTTTGCATGTATTCATTAACATTATTTTCGAATTACGATAGCTAGTATACAATATTTGTAAGTTAATTTAAGTCCAACGCAATCTCTGTTCCAGTAAATTATATTTCAGCATTTTCTATAAGTCCAATTTAATGTCTCTTAAATTATGTCTTTCTACCTTGATAAGAAATATAATGGATCATACTTAGTTATATATTTTATGCAACATAATAGTCATATTTTAAGTGACTAATAGTCATTTAGCGACCTGCTAAACACTAGTTGAGCATTTTGTAGATTTTTTAATAAGCCTTATATAATTAACTATATTTACTAACAGCTGATTCACATTTAAATACGTGCACTTCTACACTAATATAAACAATTATGTCAATTAATTTAAACTGTCAAAAACCAAGTGATATATCCACTGCTAGCACAAGCCATACGCCAATGAAAAGGCAACATAGGAAGCCGATTGCTATAGAACGGTCGCAAGCGCAACGGAGAGAATAAGGATGATGACTGCGCAACCGAAAGAATAGGGACGAATAGATGGGTAAAAAAAAAAAGAAATTCTATTGAATCCGTCAGTCCGATAATAGGAAAATATTAAATACGTTATCTTTTTTTATTCCATTTTGCAAGAAATAGTTAACATATCACGAATTGAAGTTGAGGAGTGGGGGCTCATTACGTCATAGTTTTGTAGAAAATATACAAAAGCGTAACCTCATGCGACATAGACAAACGTATCACCATAATTAATTGATTGCGTAAAGAATTAAAAAATACGTGTTCAATATTGTTCAATAGTCTACCTGACGGACAAACAAAAATTAGTTATCATGCCTATTTCGTACGTTGACCTTTATGCCTACTGATAGATATACTTAATATTTTACTATAATTTTATTATAAATATCGGATTTTTGCGCACCTATATTATATTATATAGGCTTATTTTATTATGACAAAAATGGCGAAATACATCTGTGCGAGCGCAATAGCAATATTTTTTGCGCACAAGTGAAAGAAATATATAATGCCGGGTCATTGTACATTATTCTCTCTGTTCCGCGACTGTGCTATAGTATACTTTCGGATGCCACAATAAAATCATAGGTATTTTTTTGTAAAATTATTATAGTAAAATTACATATTATTTTTTAAATTAAGAAGATAAAAATAACAACTAGCTTTCTCCTAACAGTAGATAGGTACTAGGATTATATTGACAAAATTGCAATGACGTATTATACTTAACCCATTAGGCGTGACTGGTTCAATTTATCTTATCCAACATTGGTCCAATTTGCGGTTTATAAAAAAATACACATTATTGAAATTCAATGTTTACCTTACAAAAAGTATCCAATCATAACAATATTTTTGTTTAAGCCTAAAAACAATGAACAAAAAAATAAACAATGCTTTATCTCTTGTGAGTAATAAAACCAAAAAATAAATGTAAATAATATACAAAACAATAAATTTAATTCATATTTACATTAAATTAGCACAAAATAGAATCTATTAAAATATATTTTTATACCTACTTTGTATATTTTTCTATACAAACAATAAATTAATGTTATAATAGTAGCTAACTTATATAACAAGAGCTCTAATTTTGAAATAACTAATAGGAGGCATATTATTGCGAACGCCTTACGTCACATATCATATTTTGGATTAACTACAAGTTGGATTAACGGCAAACTGGACCAATTGTGAATAGTACATTTACCACGGCAGTGCTATACTTCTAGCGGCTTATTCATATAACTGGATATAGATAAACAGTGGAAATCTAACAGTCGGCGGGTACCACAGATACAGACAAGAATAATTATATAATATCATATACCAAATCTCAGCCCGATGTTTTAGCTCTGCTAATCCTTTATAATAGCGTGATAGGAATTGGTAGAACTATTTAAGGCCGATAATTGTTAAACCAATATTCAGAGATTCGCTGTTTCAAATTTAGCTAGAATTTAATTAAAGAAATCGTACAAAAAATTGTATTAGTTGTTGTTTCATTTATATTAAATGTCGACAGTATTTACAAATCTCACGATACTCAACATATTCATATAATTACAACAAGTCCTTAAGACACATTTACACTGGTCAATAAGAGCCGCATGCGAAGTGCGCCGGATTACGTTCAGAGTCTTGATTTGAATTGACTAACTTATAGACCAATAAAAATGTGCCTTAACTTGGATGGTTTTACATATTCCTATCACTGGGAATTATAATATACGTATATAATAAGTTATATTTTAAGATGACTTCAGTTACTTTTTGATGGAGGAACAGTGACTTGTGGTGGATCAAAGGCGGGCAGCGGTTCGCGCCAGTAGACAGTCTGCGAGAACTCATCCGAGGGCTCGCATAGAGCCGGCGGAAACACTTGATCCACTAGAACCGACATGTGCGAGTACCTGCGAGAATACAGGAAAGAATCGATATCATCATTTTCATCGGGACACCGCTTGAATAGATTATTTCTAACCGACGAGATTTCAAATATCTATATTTTTAACGCTTTTCGGGAAGTTAATTTCGTATGTTATTCAAAAGCATTTGAATAATACACGAAATTAAAAATATAATAGACTAAACATCTGTTCCATATTCATCCTTCTGCATTTAGTTTTTAAATATATAAAACTCAAAATGGTTATCTGTTTAAAGTGCCCTGTCATGAAGTAGTAAATGAAATGCCGTGCAGCAGTGTCCATTTTTGTTTCTGATATAAATATTGCTAGATAGTGTTATAATATTTTCCATAAGACTCAAACAATACTAAAAAAACTTTTGTAGATTTTAAAGTAATATGAATATTAATATTTGTTAATTTACGTTAATTTCGGAAAATCATAGTTAGTGCAGCATTTAATAAAAATTAATTGGAAGTAAAATTGGTTTTAGAATTTATTGAAACCACTCTAATTAATCATCTTTTCGCTCAAAATCGCATAGAGAACTAGTTACAAATTATACTACTAGCGATATTGCAAACGAAAAAGGTTTGCTTTTGTATTTTTAATACATTAATATTTCTACTTTTTTTAATGAATATAAAATGCACTTAAAAATATATTTGCAGCAAAATTAACCTACTTACAAATTAATAACTAAACAAATCCATCACCGGAGAAGAACCCTTCCATATTCGATAAAAAGAATGCTTCCATAAAAGGAAAAGGCAAGTTGAGAGAAAAGAACAAAGATAAAGCATTATCACATTAATCCAACACAAATCGCACAAATAAATACGAGACAAATGACATGACGATGATCAATTCGTGTTAATTATATTATTATGTCTTGAGATTAAGTTATTTTAATGAATGTGAGTCCTTCGAGCGGCCAAGCCTTAAATATCATGCCTTGGCTTACCGGCAATGTCGAGTGTCTGCTTATCTCTCACTATATGCATTAACTAAAATATAATTAAACTTTGGACTAGATTTTATCACGTTCTTTAACATTTCTATCACGTTTGAGTAGCGGGAATAAATCATCGACCATGTTACTTTGGACGTGGTAACTGAAATAAAAATATATAATATATTGAAACTAAATTAATATAGTGCATAAAGGCGTTAGTAACGTGACCATAACATGAGACAGCGAATACTAATAAGATGTATACTCACGTCGATTGGAATGTCTGAGTCAATTCGTGTTTGAGTTCACCCTTGTAATTGATCGTGAATATTCTCACGATAGGAATGCCGACGGCTTGATATGCGCAAACGTCCTGTAAAAGGATAATGTTATGTAATACAACGTTCATACATAATATATAAAAAGTCGCTTTCCACTGTCTGTACTTTGAGGTCTTTTAAACTACACATTGGATTTTAATGCGGTTTCATCAATATATAGAGTTATTTAAAAGGTAGGTTTATTTATATGGATAAATAATATATGGCCACGCGTGCGAAAGCTAGTATATCAATATAGTAATATGTGTTATAAAATAAACCAAAGTAAAGACAAATCATAAAACTTATTACGTTCCAAATATAGCAGATTAGCTGTTTTCCCGCGACTTCGCTCATATAAATTATAGCCTATGTCACCCGCACTACCCGTATTATGTAGATTCCTGTCGATGAAAGAATTTTAAAACTTTCGGAGTCTATTCAATACAAACAAACAATCACAATCTTTCATCTTTATAATATTAGAATAGATCAATAGAGTCGCACGCGGTTGTGTAGTGAATAAGCACCCCGCGGCCCGCGATCGTTGTAGTTAAGCAACTTTAGTGAGGGTCGGTCACGGGATAGGTGACCAACAAATTATTATCTCGAGCAACTCCGTGCTTCGGAAGATACGTTAAGCCTGGGACCAACCCCAGCTACGTTTGAAGTCGTGATACCATCCAATCCGCATTGGGCCAGCGTGGAGCATCCTTAACCATCAATAAGGAAGGCCTGAGCCTCCGCAGCGGGGACGTAAAAGGGCTGATGATAATGATGATAGATCAATATCCCATGTGACGCTAGCTTATTTACTTGATCTGAAATAGTGAGCTGGTCACTATCTCAAGTTAAAAAAATCATAAAACTCAATGGTATTAGAAAAATATAAAATTCTATATATCGGATGCTAGAAAGCAAACGCCTAGTAACCCGCAAAACCAAAATGGATATTTAAAGTGGAAAATCTTTATATTTACAAAAAACAAAATCTTATTTCTGTATAAATTGACTAAGGAACACCTTATTTGTTACCATGGATGTTTATAGGAATTATTTATCGAAAAAATTAAAAGCTTTTCTGCTTTGAAGAGCAATTTTGGTTTTGCGGGTTACTAAATGTTTGCTTTCCAGCGTCGAATTATCATCGTCACTAACGTTAACTCTGTTGCCGTATCCCGCATAAAATGGATTAGAGCCTTGCGGGAATAGTGCTTTGATGTCGGCGAGGCACTGAATCTTGAACTCTTCAGGTTTCTTCTCTATGACTTCACGGTGGAAGGCGCGCAGGAGTGACGTCGGATTCAGCAGCAACGGTCCATCGGGGAGGCAAACCTCACCTTGACGGATCGAGCGGAGATACTCGCGTGTCACCTTTACGACAAATAAATAAACGTCAAGCTAAATCTATACTAATATTATAAAGCGGAAATATTGGTTTCTTTACAACGAATAGGCACCGAAACTACTGGAACGATTTTAATTTAATAAAAGCAACCAACATAAAAGTTTAAACAATTATTGATGCCTTTCTATATTTTAAAAATTGATGCCAGATACTATGGATAATTATCTAAAAATTATTAAAAAAAAAAACAGAATTATCTTGGTAATTAAGAACCCTGCCTGCACAATATTAGTTCAACATTTATTTATAACATATCGCACACCTAGATCTAAACTAAGACAACTCAAAAAACTAATGTGGAGGTCTGACGATACATTTGTTTATGTGGCAGGAGCGCGAGCACTGCTGATTCAACAAAAGAAAGCTAAAGTTATCTAGCGGCTCATCCCCGAACCTTTATTGAATCTGTTATGTTGGATAGATGCGTATGATCACCAAGTATTTGAATATTGTACTAAGTCAAAACTCGCTCATATTTTTGAGTTGTCTCAGTTTAGATCTAGGTGAGCGATATATTTGAACTGGTGACTTATAGGTCAGGTTTAGGCATCAGCCTCACACAAACTACGATTGCTTTCTAGTTACTGTATTTAGTTTGTAAAGGAAATAAATAAATTATATTATTATTTATTACCATGTATTATACTAGCTGTTTCACCGCAACTACGCCCACGTAAATCATAGCCTATGTCACCCGCGTACATAGCAGTGTCCAGTAGGTGAAAGAAGTTTTAAAATCGGTCAGTGGTTTCAGAGCTTGTTCAACGAATAAACGAATAATTTAATGTTTCCTCTTAATAATATTAGTATAGACAATTAAAAAAGCTAATATATCAGATTTATAAAACACAAAAATAATCAAGTGAATCTATTTAGACCAGTGGTTCTTAACCTAGTGATAATCACCCTAAGTGAGCAAATCAGCTATTCTGTGGGGGTAACAAAGTACCTAATAATTAAGACCAAATTTAATGAAAGAACAAATACACTGTACCAATGTGGAATATAGTTGGGAGAAAAGAGATATTTACCAAATTTAACTAGGTGTTCGATACGAATTACTCGATAATTTCTAAAAGCAACATATATTAATAAGAACTCACCCTTGCCTGTCCTATAGCGCGGGCGGATAAATATAGCAGCTGATAGCCATTGTTCTTTATCTTGGTAAATAATTGTGCTACCCCCGACTGTGCCCAATCCTTTCCCACCAGTGGGAAGATATGACCCAACACATCCGACCTGCATAACAAAAATATTAATGAAAAAACGACATCCACAGAAACTTTATCATATGTAAGTAATACTTAAGATTAGTATAGCCCGGTTGACGAAGACAAAGAATTTCGTACAATGACACTACATAATATCTCTTTTATCGCAAAGTTACTGCAATAGGGATAGTAACTAATATTTGTTTGTTCATCCGACAGATTGAAGAATATTAAACACATTTTTTGCGCAATCAATAAATTACGCCTATACATTGAGTTGAAATGTAGCGTGACGTCACGCTTTTATACATTTTCTAAAAACTGTGACGTAGCGAGCCCCCACTCCTAAATTTTAATGCTTATTATCTAAGCCTTCTTGTTTAAAATGAAGCGAAAAAATACACATCTAATACTTTTCTATCATCTGACTGACGGACTAAATAGAATTTTACCCAGTCGTCAGCCCTATTGCGCTCGCACAGATGCATCTATTCAATTTTGTCGTAGTAAAGTGAACCTAAAAGATTTACGATAAAATCGAGAACTGGTGTGAATGATAAAATTGTAGAACAACGTCCCGCCATGAAGTGGGGGAGCGGTGTAATAGAAAAAGAATTGTTTAACGATATTTACAGTAAACACAAATGTCAACGTATGAATCGAGGAAGTATTTAAAAAAAAGCACCTCATTAGATAGCGACTCTAGCAAAAGTTGATTTTTGCAGGAAACAAATGAAGCAAAGATAGTTATCTCCGTTCCATTTAACTAACATATTAAAAAACTAATATTTGCAAAGTTCGAAACTAAGAAAATTGATATCTTAGTTTCGAACTTTGCAAATTTCAGTTACAAATAGAATATTAGTCGTTTATCGAGTTTTGAAAATTAATTTACTTTTATACATGTATGAAAACCGGAAGAGTTGTCATGGAGAAATCAAGAACGTACCGTAGCGACATCTTGTTTGATTTCGGGAACTATTTTTGTTTTAAATACATCCTCATTATCTCTGTTTGGCGACTGTACCTTGTGTAGGTGGAAACAACTCACTTTGTTATGGTTCCGTCAATGTCGGAGATGACAATTTTGTCGTCGTACCGCCATCGGAACACATTGCATTTGCATCTAGTTGTGCCCTGGTATGCTGTCGTCACACTGAACACCATCTCGTTCATTCCCTCGCGGAGATTCAATTCTTTCTAAAGTTAATAAAATTTATTATATTTAATTAATTTTGCATTCACAATGCTATATTGGATTTTTTTTAAATCCACTGTGCCCGAGTTACTCTGGGGTGAGACTCGAAATAAATAAATACAATAAATTCTAGAAATCTCTTTTTTTTATTTAAATAGATTGCATCGTTTGGCAACAAGAGGTATTAAAATTTATTTATATTATCGGCTTCCCCTAACCAGGGGTCCAATTGTCTAATTCTATAATCTATCACAATTCCTTTAATTTTGGCATTCCAAATGATATTTACGCGCTTCATACTACAACTATTAGATATGTGACAGTGATTGCGGATGCGACGTTTTTCAAAAAGTTATTGAATAAACGATATCGATAATTAGAGTCAAGCGATAAATGTTTGAAAGCCATTGAGAAATGTCAAATAAAAGAGTTAATTGCTAACTGCAATCTTTCTACGGGTTTAACTTAGTTTTGATTATGTTTCTTGGTAATTGGATGCATAAGCGATTGTGAATTTAAAAGTTACATTATTTCATAAACCGCTATCACATTTACTATACCTTTGAAAAGAATGTTTTAATTGATACATTTTTCTCCAATGACACCTTACGATATATGCTCATAGCAATTTATACTATAAAAAGGTCTCGTTTGAAATACAGCTGATAGATAAATTGCAGATTGACTTGATATGGAATAATTATTTCATAAATGTTTTGTTGATTTTAATCAACTTAATGAGGCAAGTGTTAGTATATTACCCAGTTCTTTCATAAGTATAAAATGTTTTGTTTTTGAGATAAACATGTAGGTTAAAAATGTGTAACAACAGCGTACTCGATTATATGATAACTGCGCTTATTGAATGCAAAAAATAAACTCTTTCGATATTGAAACTCTTAAGAATGTTACTGTATACGTACAATTTGTTCGGAAGACAACCGCAATGTCTTACGGAAGGAGGAGTGTCGTCGTTTAGGAACCGATTTTCCCTCTTGATCTGAATCCGAGGAACTGTTTTCTTGAAGATCATCTGTTACAAACAATATTAATATATACAAACTGAAATGAGCTTTGGAACTATTTCAAGCTCATAGCAAACTTTGTGCTATGAATATACAAGTCACTAATAGAATATACGTGTTTGAGTACCTAATAAAATATCAAATATTATGTTTAATTTTTACTTCAAAAAAACGTTAGAACACTAAAACTAAGGAACGACATTATTGAAACATTTTATATTTACTGCAAAGTTGAATGTTGATATTTTTGTAATTCAAGACAAATAAGAATAGGTCAAACAAAAAAGAAAAGAATTTTTATAAATCAACGCATTTTCGTAGCGATAGATCGAATTACGGCACGGAAGCCATAAAATGGCGACGCGTTTTATTCATTAATTATTGATCAAGTCTTGTCAATATATAGTAATAATAAATCCAATTATATATATATATATGAAGTTCAACGAATCTAACAAATATTTAGGGAAGTATACTTATTTTCTTTTCTGTCAATACTAAAATGACGGCAATTTCGTGAAGTTGGTAGCTAAAATTAATAATCCTATTCATAATTGACTCGCATAGTACGTAAGTTGAGATCATAATACATGTCAGTAAATTTGATTACCTTTTTCTTGAATCGGAGTAGGTTCTACTTCTGAAATTTCTTCAATTACGACAGTCTCTTCTGTTTCCGGTGATTCGAGTGCTTCCTCTACGGGGACAGTCTCCGGTACCGGCTCGTCCATTAATTCAGCTTCTATTTTTACTTCAGTGACAGTTTCTACTTGGGTTATGTCCAATTTCTTATCAGGTTCATCTTTTGATGACGATTCGGAACTGTATAATATAGAAAATAAATATATAATAAGTTATGGTCTTCGTTGGCGCAGATCAATGTAAAATCGCGTCTAATACCCGGTATTATAAGTATTTAATAATACAGCGCAATAGTTTAAAAGTGAACTTTTAAACGGTTTCATCGCGTTTGTATTTAGTTTTATTGAAATAATTTAATTTAATAAATGCAAGTGTTGCCATAAAACATTTTTTTTTTTGTATTATGAATGAGTCCAATAGTATTGTTTTAAATGTAGATATACTCCTAATTAAATAGTTAATCAACACCTTTATCTAACAACACCTGGCCCGGATCTAGACGAGGGGGCAAGTGAAAGGCGCTTGCTCCGGGCGCCAGTGTCAGGTCAAGTGTCATCAAGTGTCATGATACACACAAAGAAAATTATGCTTATGACAGTTGTAACACAAAAAAAACTTCAATTCAAAAGAAGTGGTACAAAATCGAAGAGCTAATATAATATTAATTTATTACTCATTTCATTTTTCTCCATATAGAAACAGATTCTATACACGAGAGCGCATATAGAAACGCAAATGTTTGCCAAATATGAACTCAGTTGGCACTTTAGCAGTCTTTATATAGTTGCTTTAGTAATATAACACAAGATGCTTCGTAATTCATCATTTCTTAAAATATATTTTTTCTGATGTAAGATATTTAAATCAACTTTAGGCAACTTTAGGCTTTTCTTTACAAGAGTTATGACGTCATGTTACTATGTGTCACTATTACTAAAAGCTTATCGAATGCGAGATCTAAACAATCTAGATGATGTTCTCTAGTGTATACTAATATATAAAGAGATATAGGTAGTTTCTAACTTTTTTTTGTTTGTTTGTAAGGAGTAATCATCAGAAATACTGATTCGATAATGAACATTCTCTCACCAACCTTCGGGAATGTACAATATACGTAGGTGATGTTGGCTTATATTTACACACTTTTAAACTACTGTACCGTACTTTATTTTAATAAAAAGTCATTGAACGCGGCCATTTTTTCGTGCATCATGTTTTACGACTGAGGGAGATTGAAGTTTACACGTAAAACTAAGCAAATATGTTTATCTCGTTCAAACAATAGGTATACTGTATGATTCTAATACAGATAACTATATTTGATTTCTTCGCACCCTTTGTGGTTGTATAATAATGTAAAGCTACCACAATAAAGTTTACGCCGTTTTAAAACACAATAATGTACGCGTATGGCGGTGTCTAATACTAAAACCTCATTGCATAGAAGTCATCGAAGAACTACGATTAATTACGCGTTTACCGTTTGGTCTCCGAGTTGGATCGCCTCCAGCTCCACCAGGAGTAGCCGCGAGGTTTTGACGCGGTATCCGCAGTCCGTGGGCACTCTTTGTCCAAGTCTTTCTCCAGGGACTCCAATACGCGCTGTGTTAAAATACATAATCAGCAATTATAATAGGGATGACGACTTATTTTTATATTTTTGTCCGTCAAGTACATTGTGGAAATGTACTCTACGGACAAAAAAATGTTGTTTTCGTAATCAATGAATTACGGCGATACATTGAGTTAAAATATCACATGACGTCACGCTTTTGTACATGTCTTTACAAAAAATTATGACGTAGCGAGCTCTATTTATTATATTTGTATTAAGTGTTATATAATTAATTTATTGTATTATTCTATATATGAGTGACGATTGCAATAGATTGAATAGTTTAGCTAATAATTGTTAATGTATTGTCTTTTCTTCTGATAATTGTAATTGTTGTTTATCTTGTCTATCTACTTCTACTTTTATCAAAATAATAAGTAGACTGACCAATTGTGAGAATGTATTGGCTGTGACGTTGACACTCGTCATTTGAGCTTCTAAACAATACCTTTTGAAAAGCTTAACGTGAGAAGGGCCTAACACTTACCGTCGGCAATGATGGTGGTAAATGAGAAGCGACAGCAATAACGGACAATAAAGGAGCAATACTGCTCCCCACAATCCATCACCATCAGATATTTGTACAACAATCTACAAAATTTTGTAGAGGGTAGTTCATCACTTAGTGGCAGGTGATACGTACCGTTGGTAGCGGACGGCGGTATGCAAGCAGCGACAACAGCAGCGGGCCAGCGCTGCGCCACGGTAGCCAGCGGTCGCCCAGCCTCACCACCAGGCGGCCCTCGTTGGCGAGGGTCACGCCTCGAGCACAAAACTCTTCGAATGGCAACGCGCGCGACACCACGTCCTCCCGAACATACACACCCACTTGACCTCTGTCATAACCAAGCGACGACGAAATGATAAACCGATGCTCAACGTATGCACGCGTCGACAAATAATAATAAATTATATAATTTTGACGCTGGTTTCCAAACTTATATAATAATAGCAAATAATTTTTTTTTTGGAACCAATTTGCTAACTATTATATCACCCGTTCAACATAATAGATCTCTACCAAAGGTTGACGAGAGAATATCGGTATGAGTTTAAACATATTACAAGGTAAGGACCTAATTATTTCTGAAAAAAAGCTTACTTGGCTAGAAGTTTTTCATCATCGTCAGAATCTAGAACAGGTGGGTCGAGCGACGCTGGCGATTGCGGCAGCGAGGGGCCGTTGCCAGACTCGTATTCTTCCTCGGTGGGACCCGTCGTAGGATGTGGTGCACTAGTCACACCTGCACAAGATACCATACATAAAAAAATATTTGGGATGATTAGTTATAAAAAATATTGACAATAATTCATAATTTTATGTCAACATAAATTAATTTCTCACCTGCGCGGTAACGTTCAGTGTGGTGTTTAGGAAAATAGAGATCGGGATCAACCTGCCCGCGGTCGAGATCATCGAGATAAACCCCCTCAGTAGCCACCTCGGATGCTTCACGTGTCGACATAAACCGGAACATTCCAGATAAGACACCCCGGCGAGCAGATCGCTCCTCATCGGAGCTTAGTGGCTCAGTAGGAGAGGCGGGCGATGCAGGAGATGCGGGGGAGGGAGGCGAATCGGGGGAGTCAGGTGTAGCGGATATCTCCGTGCGCACAGGCGGCTCCGGCAACTCTCCCCAGCGCCAAGACTGAGAGGACTTATCCCCGACTGCTGTCCGGGCTAGCTCAACCTCCGTGTCTGACTGCACGGGTGTGCCGTTCCGAGTGCTCCTGCAAATGACTAACCTTTAGTTTCATTGAATTTCCTAGTACTTTTATTTGTCATCACATCATGTTTATACAACAACAAAGGTGTTCTGAAGCTGGATTGATAAAAGCTAGAAATGCGTGTATGATACATTATTTATTACACCTACGATGAAGGGAGAAAATACCAGTTCAAGCTAATAAGAACTTGTTCATATAAAATGTTGGTGGTGGTAGTTGGTATTACTTTGTAAGTAATATAACAATATTACTATAAAATAGACAGAAATATCTAATTATGACATAAAGACAGATAAAATATTTTCAAAGGATAATTTATTAACCGACTTTAAAACCGAAAAGTAGCAGGTTATATGGCCGATGGAGATGTATGTTTTTTTAAGTTAATAAAAATCCAACAATTTCTCTTCATAAGAAATTGAGAACAAAGTCCGTCGTGTCGGTTGTGTCAACTGAATTATATGTCTTTGTATATACGTCAGTCTTTGGATATAAACAGTATTTTTAGCACTTCTTTTATCAAATGTAGGTAACATTGCCAATATATTCTTAAGCTATACATAGCCTGAGAATACGCATTAAGAGAGACCGAGACGATATTTTCAATGAGACTGATAGCGACGGACAATTCGGGTATTGCGCGAAAAAGCGCCAACATTTTTAAGGGAAATATATGGAACACCAAAATAATACTGCATAGCAAAATGTACCATTTGATGATGTGCTGTTAAAACAATCTAATTTTAAATAAATAACTCAAAAAGTTTTACGATAACTTTAAAAAGCTAGTATTCTTTTTTTACAAATTAGCAAATATTTATCAATATTTACATTCTGAAAAATATTATCAATGAATTTATGCACATTAGAACAATGAAAGAAGCGAAACAATTTTTCTGGTTACATAAAAAATTATAGAGGAGTCCTAGTTGCTACCGTGTGACACCTACAGTTGACTTGATCCTCAAAGCAGATATATTATCTTTATGCATGTCTAATTAAGATTCATAATGTGATTTCTCAGTACTCAAACATTTTTTTAGGTCTTATTAACTTCATTTAAACTGCTTGGCGGAATAAACCGACGTTCATACGAGTACCTTAATATTAGGCTTTATTAGATGAGACAAATTAAACATAAAAATAGATTTCTTTAAAATACTGTTAATATTTAAGAAATACAATGAAAACGAGAAATGCCTGCAAAATTATATCTTTTTATATGTCTTCAAGTTGCGTTGTAATGATTATAAAAAGCTTAAAAAATTTGCTTCTACTTATGCCATAAAATCGAAATAAACAAGCGTGAGTGAGTTAGGTTATCGTTATTATAATGTAGTGAGTTAGTTCATTTAGTTTCTACCTGAACATTGTTTAATAATTAAGTTGTAGTAGAGGTCGCATTTGGATAACACAATAATTAGTTTTATGTAAACTACATCATAAATACTGGTTGGATAATTATTTTCTTCGGTTACACCTTACTTACGGGACCCACTTGTACAAGAATATTTTTACCATGTCTAAGCATGTTGTACATAATTCTACATCCTACTCATATCATAAAACCTTTATTTTGTGAAAATGGATGTATGTTTGTGACTCTTTCGCGCAAAAACTACTAAACGGATTTTGACGATATTTGGATGATATTTGGTATTGTTGTTTGTAATTGTCCGTACAATTTTAAACCTGACTGAACATAGGTATAGGCTACTTTTTAATCAACCAAACGATTCCCTGGGGCAAGGCTAGTATTAAACTGCATAATTTACCAGTGTCATTAATTATTCAGCCAAGTATCAAATGTATCATCATCGATATACAGTTTCATTTTGTAGGTCTTTGTTTCTTTCAATTAACGTATTTTTAACTAAATATTATGAACAATTTGTACAATGTGTTTTATTGTTTGGCCGGCTGATATCTACTTCAAAGTATATTACATAAAAGAGGAAACGTTTAGCGTTTACTACTAATCAACATGGTTTACTATAAAAGCGTAAATGCGTATCGATTTAAAAAATATATATATTAAGCTGTTAATTATTACAGCCTAATAATACTAGCTGATGGTGACGGCAAGCGAATTACTGTGAACGGTTATTAATATTTGTTATTCGTTTACGCGTGTCTGGATGCGGCGTGCACCTCAAACGCTGTGTCGGACAACGCCAGCGGGATGCGGTTCTCCCCGTTCAACTTCAGGTTGGACATCTCTTCGCTGCAAACCAGGCAATAAGTTCACGAGGGCCGAGCAAAAGATTTGTAATGACATCATCAACTCGTGTAACCCAAACGAATATTATATCAAACTAATCTAAACACAGATATCTGATAAATGTAAAATGACATCACCATGCTTTTTATTCAGTTGAAAAATGTATGCAAATATTATGGATATAAACAACGACTTTCTCACCTGAGAGCAGCAGTGTTGATTTCACTGTCGCTGAAGAAATTTATATCAGTCGCATTGGGTATAGAGGCTGGCTGTGATGCTCTCTGTTCGGAACCGGCTCGATCTGACTGGCTAGATATCGAGCTCGTAGATGATTTCCTCTGGTGTTTCTTTTTAGAACTTAACTTTCTAGTTTTCTTCTTTTTCTTCCCGTTACCATTCTGTTTGATCTCCTCTTGGTTCAGGAGAGCCGCCTCTATAGGGCGAAAATCGTTATTAGCACTAATTTTCTGCACAGTTTGACTAGCTTCGCTTCCCGTGCCGCTTATTTGCGTCGCTGCAAATGTCTTTGGCGTTCGTCCGTCGGCTCGATCAGCGCCAGACGGTACGGTCGCGTCGTCGAGACCTTCCATCTCGAACAACGCGTCATTTTCATTATTATTTTCATTATTAGTAGTCTCTTCTTTGGCATTATTATTCTTTGTCAATTTACTTAAGTTAGGTTTTTGCATAGACTGAGCATCTGCGGTGTACCTGTAAGTATTTACAATTTATAAATCAAATAAAAGGCGTTACGCATTAAAGATAGTTACGATAGAATTGCCATCCGCATGATGGCGGCATACATAAATAATGCAAAAAGTGTGAAATTTCGCTTTCGAATTACACGCAAGTGTTCACACAACAGTCGTACGTTACGATATTAATTGTAATTAAACCCTCGCTTTCCTGAAACAACTATGTAATGAAAGGTACTACCTTTTATACTATAAAAATGGAGTAATAAAAACAAATTCATTAATTTATTACGTAACATAGATATTTTATCGGTATTTTAATAACAGAATTAAAAAGAACAGAATTTTTGAAAGTCCTAGTAATTAATATCATAATCGCCATTGAAGTAACTTATGTGTGTCCAGTATATTTATGTCACCATGCTGTCTTTAGGGAAAATTACATTCTAACCTTGACTTAGTATGTTACGAATCTACACGGTCAAGTTGCGACGGAACGACTAATAGATATAGTCGAATAACAATTCACTTTATCAGATTAATATTAATGTAGTATTGATAATGAACTCAAGTGGAACCTTCGCTTAGTGTAGTCAGACGCCTGCCCGTGATCGGGTTCTACGACAGAGAGCGAATTACGACGGCGCGGCTCGTATAGTTCTTCGAAGCGCGAAGCAGGTATAGGAGACGTTGCGAGGTGTGCCGAACACTCCGCTTCGTCTTCCCCCACCTCTTCCACAAAGAACGCCTCTCCTGACTCCCCCAATTTCATATGAATATTCAAAGGTTCTCCGTTCAGTTCCAAGTCCACCTGAAACAAAATAATTAAATATCTATAAGAATGAGAAACGGATAAGTACAATATTAAGTTTAAATTGATACAAATGATTAGGAAGAGAGATCTTTCATGTAGTATACGGTGTTGTAAACGTTTTACCAACACCTGATGCCAATGCCTGAAAGAACATTTGGTTAGCATTATCGATAAAAAATATAAGAGAAGAACTTTACGTTGTCTACCTATATAGTATCTGGCTTGCAGTAATGGAAAGTAGACATTACTGTTATAATAAAGATTTTGATTTATTTCAAGTTGTATATTTACCAGGATAAAATAATAAATTAGTTTTATAAAAGTGCTTCCTTTCTCATTACTGATACAATTTCTTCTGTATGTGTTGTTAATAATGATAAACGTCTACTAATGACATCGGCCCGGAAAATTGCATATTGAGACTTACTTAATTTAATATATATTAAAGTGCCTCAGTAAAAAATAAACAGGTGGCCGGATGAAGTAGGTAAATATTTGTGCCAAAATTTTCCCACAATTCTTAGGTGGAACTTTATCCCACATTTGGCTATACTCCAATTTTCACAATGAATCAGACGCAGATTCCTCGTCTTGTTTTGGCATTGTATCGGTCTATGATAATTCTAAAATTGAAAAGCCACATCTTCCCCAAAATATTTTCTGTCGTTGAGAGAAACAATGTATCGAAATAGTTTATGATTAAGATGTAAGAACTAAAGCCAATGCCTATTTTACGATGTACAGATGTTCATTCATTCAAAGATAGTGTCTACGAAGGAGTGTTGTCCATTCTCATTGGCTTTCCGTTTCCAGATCATTCGAGTAACTGGAGGCCTCTCACTTGCGCTCAACAGACAGTGCCGAATGGCGATGCTATGAACGGCGCGCGGAGGGAAATGTCGTTCATTCCACCGAACCACACATGTTACCAAGACTGTTTTATGACTGCTTCTAGGAAAAACATTGGTGTTTGTTATGTCAACCAACAACTTACGAGTCTTTGATTTAAACAGATAGATAGGATTCGTTTAAATGCAGGTATCCGAAACATTAACAAAACAATCTTTTGATGATATTTCATATGTTGTAATTGTTCGTATAAAACAATACCGTATAATTTTCCTTATTAATGAAGATTTCCTGATAGACTAGATAATAAAGTCAGTAGCCTTACATTAGCAATTTAATAGCTACTACACACTTTATTTCTATCACAAGCTACACATAATATCCGGAGATCCGGTTATAAAGCATGATACCATCCTTCTGACTCAAACATATTGTATAATATTTATTCTGTTGATAACAATACTTATTTAAATTGACTAACGTACGTATCCAATCATATATTACTTTTATCAGATTAAATTTTTAAGTCAGCGACCTAGCCAAAGTAGATGGCTTATCAGTTTGATAAGTTGTCCTAAGGGTTTTAGTAAATTCTGATTCTAACATTTGATGTTCGAATATTATGAGTAAGTTTGTTAGAATTAACTATGACATTATTCATTGTCACTAGAGAACCGACAAAAGGGGTCAAGCTCGCGGAAAAAACTTATTATTGTGCTCATTGTTGTGGTCAAATAGCGTGATGAATGTCAGAATTATAATGGAAAAAGAGGTGAAAACATGCACTTAGGTCTAAATTCAGGAGAAAGTTTTAGGATTCAGCTACTTTTCTTTATGGAAACACAACATTGGCTAAATATCAATTTGCTCTTTTATGTATGTCAATGTTACATTTCTAATGTTAAGTTTGTGTTAAGTCAATATTATCCGTCGGGCATTACGTATTCAATAACGAAGAGGCGCGGCGCTCAGAAGGACAAGTTTCGCAAATATCAATTCTACTTTTATTTAACGATTTCTGAGCTCGAAGTATTTTATTGTCAAGGTAGACTTGTTCTCATGTAAGTATAAATCTTAAGATTCTTAACAGTCACAACTGATACGATTAGGTAACGTGAGACTTTTTATTTTTAAGGTGGTAAGCGTGGAAAATATTGGTAGTACATATCGAGTTTCTTTGTGATGTGCGGTTACTTTTTCGATTTTATTTGACTACAGACAGTCAGGTTGACTATAGAAAGACGTTTTCTATGTTCTGTGGCAATCTTAAGTATGCATATATGAATTAATGTTTATATTGTAAATCTAAATTATCACAATTACTTACTTTTTAAACAGTTAAACAAATAAAAATATTCAACAGAAATCTATAAAATATTCTACTTTACATAAAATACTCTATCTTAATAACTGAACTCATGCGATTAGACAAAACGGATAAAACTAAAAGACAGCTTAAATATTTTCAACATATATAATATCAATGAATTATACTGGTGCACAAAGGTCTCGGTGACGTAATAATATAGGCCGACCGCTGATTGGTTCACCACAAACCATTCCACATCGGCCTATAACATGGACGTGATCACGTGACGTAAACACTCGATATACAAAGAGAAACAAAAATATCTGCATTTCCATATTGTTTTGTTTGATAGTAGGTTACTGGCATAGATAATTAAACTTTACATACTTTGCGACAAAACGTATCACTACTTATTTGAACAGGAATATAGATTGCCATGGTATTTTGCAAGATTTAGGTGTGGTATAAGTGGCACACACAAGCCTGTCTGACATGAAGAGGTCAAAGGTAGGTAAGCACCTACACAAATTGTTACATAATTTCTTTCTACTTTAAACGTGTTTCTGGTTAATGGATATAACTGGGTAATGTGATCAGACGTCCGGTTTTGAACGGGACCGTGCCCTTTTTTTGTAATCTGTACCGGTGTTCCCCAAGGTAATCCCGGGACGCAAAATGTCTTCGATATGAGAACGGTGAGAAAAACTTTTTGAACGCATACTCATACACACGCAGAAGGGAAAACAAGATTGCATCAGCATTTATGCGAAATTCATTCGTTATCCAATTACTTAATTATTATTTGAAACCTTATATGTATACCGAATAGCAAGTATTCGTTTAATCACATCTGGTAGGGTTACCAGATGGGTAGAGTAAAATATCTGTGCTAAATTTCATAAAAACGGGATTACTCGGGACAATAATCGATACATTGATTACTTCGTCTCGGAAAAATATTGCTGATTAATATGATAATAGAATTATAGCTTGTTTTAGACGTTACCGAGCGATTTAATAATTTTATCAATTATTTAATATTTGACGGGACATTTCATTGGTTTTCGGGTCTCTGGACATCCTCCGAAAAGTCTAGACAATCCAGATCAATCCCGACCATCTGGAAACCCTACTGTCTGGGCATATGGCACTACCTATACCTCATAGGGGGTCATTTATTTTCAAACATCAGGCATTATCTTTTCTTGAAAAACGATAAACACCTTATTGCACACATAATAATAAGAATTTACAGAGAATTTTACGGTTAAAGTGGGCAAAGGCGGTCTTATCGCTAAAAACGACCTCTGCCAGACAACCTCAATAATCGGAATATGTAAAGAGAGCATAGGTAGTGTATCTATTTATAAACTGTTGCCAACCCATTGTTGGCCAGGAGAGCGATCAAAATTTGGCTGCTTACAAATTTAAAAGATGCAGAGTGGTACCTAATCTGCAAGAAATGCCATAAGAAATTAAAGTATCCATCTACCACTTTAATACAAATCATATACCGTGTAATCGATTTTACAAGTAATTTACATTTACCTACCCCTTATCAGTCGGGCAAAATTTTTAAGGATTTTTAATTGTTTATTACTTATTATAATGAAAATCAGCTCAATTTATACAAAGACAATAACAATGTAAATCTTAATGATGCAATCAGGTAGTGTGATCTCTATATTTTCCGATTTATTATAGGTATGACTTCAAATATGGTTTTTCTGCTAAAATGGTTTTACAGTTCAGCAATTTGTAAATCTGGGGGCACGGAAGAGCCTCCGCCAAGTCGAGCAAAACAATAAAAAGGGCACGGCCGTACCATCCTTTTCTCGAAGCCATTCAGGCCATTTTTGATCCCCTGTAACTTCGTTGTGGGGTAAACTAGAAGCCTAAATTTTCAGTGACCAAGAGGGCATTACATAACGAGGAACATATCCAAAATACATTAAATTTGACCGATTGCTTTAACAATTGTTGCATTTAAAAATACCTTAACTTTTGTCATCATCAAACGCATATGGCAAACGCATAGGTATGGTAAAATAATGTTACATAAAGAATCTATCTTAAGTTATTTGCTCTATGCTTTATTGGTTTAACAGTACTTAAGTGATTAACGGGTGTATGCGTTTGTTAAGTATTCCTAAGTCCATGACAAGGTTGGATAGCTGCTCTCAAAGAAAGATAGATACTGAATTAATCGACTTACGTTGATTTCATAACTTTTTCCGGCAGAAGAATTACTTTGTGAGACTTGTGCATTTTTGTACATAATATTAACAGCAACCTGATTAATTCAGCAAACGATTATTAAAGTTGCACACGCGATAATTCGGGTCTGGGATTAACAGCCTTGCTCTAGTGTAGACGAATAAATTTAAATAATTACTTACTACTTTAAACCTGGAACGCAGCACGCCAAGTTTGCCGAAACGCACGTGAAACGGGGAACAGGTGAAGCTACCATCGGGTTGTTCCACCACCACCACATCAATGGCACCGGTCAAAGTTGCACCATTGATCTCGTTGTAGAACTCGCGGAAGTTCGCGATGAACTTACCGATATAGTTCATAGAATACATAGTTAAAAGTTTTTAACACTTTTCCAATTAAACTTATTAAATCACTGCAAACAATCATCCGTAATGTCACAACTCACAAGCACTACCCCATGGCGACGAGGTCGATGACATGCGAATGACCTGAAATAAATATTATCTGAAACAAAGACATTTATCAGATCAATTATTGGATAGATTTACGTACTCTTTTTGGGGTCGTTTACTTTTTTAGAATAGGTTCAATTATATTTATCAAAAGGTATTTTTTAATACAGGGAGAAACAAAGAACCCACTTATGATTAATCCTACTTTACATTTACATAAGTAAGGTATTTTATCTAACATTGATAACAATTCAATAATCTAAGTCACCTTAAAGTTATCTTACATACATATTTATAAATATGTTACATAATCAATTAATCATTCGATCACTTACGTATTTCGTTAATTTAAAATATATTATTTAATTGACTGACACGTGTTCAAATTATTAGGTCAATGCGCTGACTGCAAACCACCAGGGTAGCAGGATGTTAACGCAATGTACATGATACCAGTCTAAATATAAAATTGTTATGAACTTATGAACGCTTATACGTATTATAATGGCAATGGCAGTTGCCACACAGAGAATTGAGAAATTATTAATATACTTAGAGAGATGAAATATGATAGACCAACGATAGACTAAGATTCTAGTTTGTAAGTTGTCTAATAATAAATTGTTACTAAATTCTCGTTCTCGACTTGATCTTTAGTAGATATTTTTTGTAATAAATTCATTCACCCTGTCTGCTTTAGCCTAACGTTGTTGTAAAAAAGACACGAACAGACAATGAGCATGCGGAGAGGGCATGCGTAACGAGTATGATGCCGGGGACTCTGCCCCGTGGAGTGACTAATCCGAGAGAGCTGTCAGCGCAAACAAAAAACCAAATCGAACGAGCACTCTTCTAGATACTTTTTATAGAAACAAAAACTAAAAACTACTTATTGACAAAGCCATCTCAGAGGTCAACGGCAACGTGTATTCATTAAACATATACTTAAGAACACCTGTCCTTTTTAATACCCAATACAGTCTTAAATAAAAATAAAAAACTGCCTAGTGACAACTAGTGGTATGTTTGGACCGGTTGTCTACCAATAAAGGGGAATAGTATATTTTCCAAAGAGTTCTATATACATAGAACTCTTGAGTCTTTTCCAATTAGAAGACAAAGTATGCGTTCGTTCATATAACGAATAAATTGTCTTTTCCTCTATTTAAATTGTGGTGAGTATAAGTTGATATTGGGCACTTGGGATTATTGTATATGCGTATTATTACGTGTTATGTGACACTAATGCTAGGGAAATTCAAAATATATTATGAATGATAAATGATTGAATGATAAGAATTTACCTGAATTACGATACATTTTATTTATGATCAAAATTGACTTCAATTTTGACAGTATCTTTTACGAGTCAATATTTATAAAGACCGTTCAACAGCAATTCGGACTAACGCACCGAGGATTACGTATTAGTTGATTTCTTATAGTCTTATGTGAACACGGAACCTGTAAAGGGTCCGAAACGCCAATAAAAATAAATACAAACGCGATGGAACCGTTTAAAAGATATTTAATTTTCTATACTACTAGGTATATTTTTATTTTTTTTAATGTGTATTTTTGGAAATCATGGGAGGTCACATCTATTTTTTTTATAAAACTTCAAAAAGAGGAAAATGGGAACGCTTTTAGTATCACTAGGTTATCGGTCTGTCCGCCACGTCAGTCCACAGTTAGTCGGTATTGTATCAAGTAATAAATTGATACAGTATTAGAAAGCATTTTAATTAAAATAAGATAATTAGACGTGTTTACAACACGAGGCTAGCAAGCAGACTCCGTGACAAGATTAGATAACGTAATGATCACAATTAAACGCAACTGGAGGTGCGTTTCACAGAAAATGGCAAGCAAAGTGTGCGCTAGTTGAAATTTTTTTAGTAAACTTATAATACAGAGAAATCAACTTATTTTAATACTTATGTATACCTAGATTAAACGCGGGAACGTTTACTTCTACGTCAGTAAACCTAATTCAATTCATACATTTTCATTAAAATGACCCACATACTACCGTTGGATAAACGCCAAATGTTAGATTTTTATTTCACCACTATCATCAACTGTTTTCGCATTATCTCAAAGGATTGAAACATTACACGCTAAAGGAGAGTTTTCTTATACTAACTCCACCCCAGCAGAAGTTAAATAGAGCTTTAGAAACCTTATATGTCAATCGAGGTAACACGATTCCGATAGTCACCACGTTTTCTTTCACGTGTTTACACGTAACTACAGTAAACAAGCATTATATATGTATCGAGATGCAATAAAGCGTTAATAACTTAAATGTCAGTATATCGGAAGAAACAATACTAATACTATTTCATCCAAAATTTCAAAATAATGTTACCGCCGTTTATAAGAAAATTGCTATTTTTCTACCACTTCGCCTTTGTAAAATAGTCGCGTATGATGTAGCTTTTCGTAGGTGTCATTTTTTTAATATCGGTCCAGTAGTTTCGCAGACTGTTAAACGCAAACAAACAATCAAATCTTTCCTCTTTATAATGTTAGTAAGTACGTATAGATTTTTATCTTAACGATTTTAAAGTGGATCTGCTCGATATTTTTTATATGTGACATGGAAATAAAACCTACTCATTTATCTATTTATTTCGATATTATTAGTTTATTAGTTCGACATTCTCTACGTGTTGAATAGATTTAACCAAATTATTATCGTTTACAAGGTTTTAGACCAAGGTAAAAAAAAAACTTGAGTACTAACTATTATGCTGTCGATGACTTTAGTATTACTTGTTTAATTATAAATATTAACTGCTTTTGACATATACGGATGTATAAATAAAAAAGAGTAATTGATAACAAAATAGGTCATATGGACAGAAGATCCAACGTGCCTCTTGATAAACTCATATAAGACCCTGTCCGAAAGTGCGCGTGAGCATAATATGAGCTAGATATGTAGGATCATGTTATACGTAAATGACTCTTTTGCAAGATTGTCACTTGAAATGTGTGACACGCTTTATCTGTAATTCTGGACAAGGGTAAGGCAGAAAATAAAACAATAAATAAAAATACACTGTCCACAGTAAATACTGAAAAAGCAGACAATTCTTTTTTCAACCTTATTAAAAGTAAAATAATACCTATCATGCATTTAGGGCCAAAGTGAACCTCATTTGACTCAGACTGAATTAAAATATATATTATTATCGTCGCAATAAGCATCACGATTGATAGGTGTTTGCGGATATACAGAAGTTTATACCTATAGAAAACGAAAGCAAAATAAAAAGGTTTTTTGCAAATGAAATCGTAAAAAAATTAATAACAATGAAACGACTAAACATCAACATCGTTCACGTCACCATACGGTACAAATATATGTAATTATAATCAGACAAAAGGAAGCAAATATTGTGTAGCATAAAAAAAAAAAAATTACAGTTGAAATTGGAAAACATAATAGAAAACTCAGCATTACAACTTTAGAATAAATAAAAGAAAGCTATTTATCAATCAAGAATTCGCGGAAATTATAGTCTCCTTCATAGTTAGTTATTGTGAATTTCCTACCTTGGTAAAAAGTTGATAGTGCAATTAAATTAAAATGTCACTGAACTTCCTAAGGCTCGAAACTTCCTGCTAGAATCTTTGTCAATAGATCTCAGCCAAAAATTGCGAAAACTAATGAAACCGAACACTAAGTGAGACTGACGCGTGTTTCCTGCGTCGTTGCTACCAACATACTGTGTTGAGACTTTGAATGTAGCAGATGGAATGAAATACGTGCTCTGACGTCGCGTGACGTCGTCTTTATCGTCGACATATATGTTTAATATCGATATAATGTACAAGAGGATGGTAACATACAAAGCCACGTGCCTGATGCGAATGCGTTCTGTGGGGATCGAATGAGCTACTACAGTGGAATGGCGCGGTATGGCGTGATATCTTGTCGCACCACTTCCGAAAGTCTTTTTACCTTATTCTCTTGAACTTGATTTAATGAACATTTCACAACTAGAGACTACGGAAATACTCAATACGACAACTTCGAAATACAAATGGTACAGATGCTATATGATATTTTGCAACATGAAATGTAACTGCCAATTTAACATTTTAGAACGTTATACAGAGGAAGATTACTAAAAGTTGTTTAGAACTTTGCTGTAATCTATTTATAATTATTATATTTGCTTTCACAATGTTATTTTGGTTACAATATAAAATACTCTACATGAAAAATGCTTAAAAAAACACTAACTCTGAGATGGGACTATTTGTTAAACCTACTTGGTTTTCATTATGTGTGTATCAATCATATATTAAAATTTTATATTTTTAAAACGTGTGACATCTGTCGGATGTCTTTCCAACTCGCAACCGCTATGTTACTTTGCTAATTTTATGAATAATAATAAATAAATAAGTGCTTGCGAGCTTCCCATAGCTCGCAAGCAGCATACAGTCGCGCTTTCTACAACTGAAGCCGAATACCTGGCTTTGGCAGATGCTGCCAAAGAGGCTAAATACCTCAAGAAGCTCATTTGCGAAGTATTCACCATCGGTTCACGTCCCATTATCAAACACACTAACAAACAAAGCTCAATCAAACTTGCACACAACAACACTAACCACGCACGCACTAAACTTATCGGCATTAAACACCACTTCATCGGAGACTCGCTTACACCATTATCTATTCATAATTTTTTATGACAAATGAATACACAGCAGGTTAGGATTGTACCTGAGAAAATTTTCTTTCAATACTTATGTTCGTTATATTTTTTCTATTCTAAAGTAAACGCAAAAATGTACAAAAAGTGTTATTGTATGTAAATTTGTTGGTATGTTAATTTTCCTATCTATAATATATATGTGTCCTACGTGTTCCAATGTATCAACAATCATCATGTAATTTCCATAACAGGCTGACGACGAGTGATAGATAAGTTTTAAAGGTGATGTGAATGTAACATGATGATAACCAATTTAACGTTAACTCTTGTCGTTCTCCTAGATAAGAAACGGATATGATAAATATAGACAATAAAAGATCTGTTTCCAGAAACGCATAGCATCATAGTTTTATTTATTTTGAATTTGAAAATGTAGATATTCGGTGGGGGTTTTCGCTACCAATAGAATTGGAAACTGAACTGATTAAACTATTTTATCGATGAAAATAATAGAAA